CGTCTAATGTAGAGACTCCTCATCGACACATTTAATCTTTTTGCAATCGATAATAGTTACGGAATGAATATGATAGATAAAGAGTGTCTCTCTAGTGCCTACTTCCCCGGTGCAAGTTTTGCAAGACTCACCTCCGACCAAATCAACGAGTTGGCAATGATTATAAAAATGGTGGACCGGGTTAGATCGATTTTGTCATCTTGGGTTGACCACTAAAATATAAAAAAGAATAGATTATAACACTTTTTGTCTATAAGATCAAAAGCAAACAGATTCCCTCGCCGATTAATCCGAACAGAAAAGGCCTTAATTTTCTTTCATTTTCCCTCTAAAAGGAAAACAAAAATCTCCATGAATCTTCAGATACAACGAAGGTTTACATCAGATCTGCAGTAAACCTTTTCTGTTCTCAGTTCAAGCTAAGCTGTGAGTGATCCAAAACCAACATCAGACCCGCAACAAACCTTTTCGGCTCTCAGCTCAAGCTGGGAGTGATCCAAACCTGGTCGCGAAACCTCCTGTGTCGGCGACCTGTTCTTGGAAACGAGTCGAGTCTAGGACTCTCCATGTCGCAAACACGCCAAATAACGTCATCGTCGCAAGGATTACTGAAATAGATTCGGTCGCCATCACACCCGGCTTCAACAGCCGACACCGAGATCGCTTGTTTACGGTTCAGGAAGAGTGCTTGATCACCCAGCTTCTCCATCTTCACCCAAGCCTTGTTCTTTAGATCGAGACGGAGCACGCAGATGCTCGAGGAGTGATGCCTCGCCATGCCCACAAACAGTAGCTCCCCGCAGGATTCAACCAAGAAGCGACGATTGCCGAAGATATCGTTGATGGGAGGTGGCACATCGAGCTTGGTGAGCCGGAGAGGAAACACCTCGAAGCTTAGCAAGCTTCCGTTGTCGTTCAAAGCGTAGAACTGCCCTTCGAAGCTGACGATTGAGTCGAAGTCCCCGAGGTCGACGTTTTCTACTGTCCAAGTCTCGTGTCCCGGCCTCCAAACGTAGAGATCTCGACGATCGCGTGCGAATAGGACGCAGCCAGGGATCGTCGGAGCCGACGACATGTAGAGGAACAAGCCGGACGCAGGCCCCCCGGCAGGGAGGTCCAACCGTGCCCGCGAGAAGGGATTCAGTAGAGAGATCGGGTCATCCCGGTTGGCCTGCAGCACCAGCCAACCGTGCCACGAGCCACAGCAGTAGGTTTTCCGGAGTTGGAAGCCGTGGAGTTTGATCTTGAACGAGACTTCCTTGTCCACCACGCTCTGCAGGCGGCAGGTGGTGTTGGACAGCGTCATGGTGAGCAGCCATGGAGTGGTGCTCATCGTCGGGTCGTATCGCGCCGCCGTCGCTCTCCAATCCTTGCACACCGTGCTGAGGCGCACGGCGTCTTTGGGATTCATGCGCATCAAGATCGACTCCACCAGGTGGACGGGAACATACCCGTTGACGGAATTGCCTCTCCCTCCTCTTCTCTTCCTGCGCTTCTTATCGGTCGCGGGAGTCGATCTGCTCATCCGCACGCACCTCAGACGTTGGTTACGGTTGCAGAAACGAAGCTACACGATCGAGAGAAGGCGAGGAGGAGGATTACTCATCTCGGGGTCGACGAGGAGGATTATGGCATCGGCGATCGAGAAGAAGGGGGATATCAGGCTGATCCATGGGCTCCGAGGTCGGCTTCATGCCGGCGGCCAGCGTGTAGGCGAGCCATGCGAAGGCTTCGTCGGCCAGTATGTCGTCGATGGTGCTCGCTGCCAAGGCTTGGGCCTCCATCGACCCTCCCATCCGCTCTTCCTTCGCTGCAACTTGGTCTGTTTTCGTGAGCCTCTTGACGGCTAATATGTTTAATTTGTTTTGGGTGGACTCCACGGCAGGAGTCGAAATCTTTTCGACAAGAAGCGCAATCGTTGATGTCACTATATGCATCCAAGGCTTTGGACCGTATCTTGCAATGCGATGATGGTTCATTTAGTTCATTCATTTAACGCCATGTTACTTGTTGGCATGTTTAGTAGTACACCGAGAGGAAGGATTAGACCTCATCGATAGAATTATTTCTGCTCCATTCGGGAAAGAGAATATCCACGGAGGACCAAAAAAAAGGAAAAAAGACACCGGATAAATTGGTACAGAGCATCAATACATCACCAGGCTAGCTAATAATCGATTATGTTTTAAATTTGCTTTTGTTTTAAGGTTTGAGAGGGATCTATTATTATTATTATAAACGTAAATCTTTTCTCGGACAAGATATGAAAGAGTCCAAAAAAATATCAATTGTTTCCAGAGAGTTTAATCTTCTCTGAGCAGTAAAGTCACCAAGAAGAACTGGCATCAAACTTTCTGATAGAAACAACTCTTACTTCCAACTCAATTCTCCGGAGTGATCCACACGTTGTCATGGACGGATCGATGTGGGCAATGTCTTCTCGGAAAACGGGTGAAGCTTTGTTTCTCCAAATCATAAACTCGCCAAACATTACAAGAGTCGTATCGACTGCTGTAGTAGACACAGTTACCTTTGCACCCGGCTTCACCAGCAGACACCGAGATCCCGTGTTTCCAGTGCAGGAAGAGCGCTCGATCTCCCAACCTCGTCGTCTTCACCCACGCCCTGTTCCTCAAATCCAGCCGGAACACGCTCATCTCTGTGGACTCATGTTCCGCTATCACCACGTACAGTATCTCCCCGCAAGATTCAACCAAGAACCGCTCTTGGCGGGGACAATTATACACGGGAGGTCGGCACACATGGAGCTCCTTGATCTGGAGTGGGAATACTCGGAAACTTATCAACCTCCCCTCTTTGTTCATCGCGTAGAATTGCCCTTCCACGCTTACGATCGAATTAAATTCTGTGGCTTCCACATGTTCTGCGGTCCAAAACTCGTGCCCCGGACTCCAAACGTAGAGCGTTGTAAGTTTGCGCACGAAGAGGACGCAGCCGGAGGTCGTCGGAGCCGAAGACATATAAAAGAGCGAGCGTGACGGAAGGCCGCCGCGAGGGAGGATAGGGAGGTCCCACCGTGCGCGAGAGAAGGGGTTCAATAGTGATATCTGACCGCGCCGGTTGGGCTGCAGCACCAGCCAACCGTTCCAGGAACCACCGAAGTGGTAATGTTGAAGCACAAAACCATGGATTCTGATCTTGAACGAGAGTTTCGGGTCCGTCACACTCTGCAGGGCGCAGGTGGTATTGGAATTCGTCAGGACGAGCAGCCACGGGGCTTTCCGCTTGGTCGGGTCGACTCGCGCGGCCGCGGCTGTCCAATCCTTGCACGATGTGCCGAGGCGCACGGCGTCTTTGGGGTTCATACGCATCAAGATCAACTCGACGACGTCGACGGGAACATAGGCCATGACTCGCTGTTTCCTCTTCCTTCGCTTCTTGTTGCTCGCGGGAGTCGATCTGCTAACCCACACCAAAAAGCACATCGATCACAGGAACAGTTGATTCAAGAAAAGAGAAAGCGGATTACGTTTCTGCAGGCAATGGAGGAGGCGTATTCCGCGCCTCCGAGGTCGACACCGTGGCGCCGCTTTGAGTTAGAATTACCAAAGCTTCGGCCGCCAGCATCTCATAGACCGTGAACGCCTCCGCCGCTTCCTTGGCCGTCGTTGCTTCCTCCCGCTCTTCATCCGCCATCAAGAATTTGGAATTGGACCGGACAGGATTCAAAGAATCGCGGCAATCTTTAATCTTTTTATGTGTTCCTCGCTACGCAGATTCCTAACACCCATAAAAGTAACGAGTAATTCTCCGTTTTATTTCATTGGGTTTTTACGCATGATTGAAATTAGTTCGATTCTTTGACGTATAAGTTTTATGCTGATTCGAAAAGAATAAAAACTCATCCAATAAAAATATAATCAATCGTGCATCAAATATTATGATTATATTCTTATAAAAATAGAACTGAGTTTTCCATGAATATTTTTTACATTCCTACCATTCTCTTTGCTCATATTTTCTATATTTATGAAATACTGCTTGACATATATATGCCAAAAATATCCTTATTTAATTAGAACATTACAATGTGGTATTTGACAAGAATCAAATGGTGAAGACAAGCGAGGAGAAGATTGCTTAGGCACCTCGATTTGGGACCATTATATTTTTTTCTTAAATAAAATTTGTATTAGTTGAATTGATTTTTTTTTTTTTGTAATTTTGGTACCTGACAACATCTAAAATATTTATTATTTTTTCTTGATTTATTATGTCAATTGCCTACAATCAATTAATGAAAAAGAAAGATTTTTGGTAATGCAAATCTAAAAAGTTAATTTATTTGATTAGCCTTAATGTGATTACATGTAATATTATTTTTCCTCTTGCACTCAGACCTTAAAAAAATACTAATAGAATTATCCAATTATCGAAAGAATTATTTTCTTGAGCTAGAAGAGGTTAGGTAGTTATCCAATTTTTTTATTATCTTTTTTTTTTCTCTTTTCTATCTTCTATTATTGATATATTTTTAATTATTATTATTTAAATAAAAAATATTTTAGTTACATAGGATCCTCATCTTTTATTGTCGTTTTTTCATTATAATTGAAATATTAAAATTATTTTTTTATATTTTTTTATTGATAAAATTAATATTATTATGATAAAATAAATTTAAATATTTAGATCGAGAAAATATTTCGCGACTATCAAATATATCAGAAAATGTTACCAGATTGATATTAACTGAATGTATATAAGCTCAAGACACATAAGTACTCTAACCAACTTGTCATCCATCCATAGAGACCAATAGAAATTAAATAAATATTAAAAAAACAAAGTACATGCTCGAACTAATCGATTCATTTCAATATGAATAATTAAAGCAATTCGATTTTTTTTATTTATTTAGAACATCAAATTCTAATTTTCTTAATAATTATAGAAATATAAAATATAAATATTAAAAATGATAAAGATGCGAATGCTAAAATTAATTAAGGAGGGGAATTAGCCCGTTGTTCTGCCGTTCCAGTTTTCCTAACTCCTTTCCCCTTCGAAGAGAGTTACTGGTTCGCCAGAAGCAAGACTATGGCCGGAGGTGGGATATTGGGAGGGGGCAGATCCTCCTGGGGATACGGCCATCCGGCGGCTGCCCGTCAGATCGGTGGGCGGTGGTGGCAGCAGGAGGTGAAGCGGAGGGAACGGTGGCTGGTGGGCCTGGGGATCGTGCTCCACGCTGTCTACATGCTTAGCATCTTCGACATCTACTTCAAAACCCCCATTGTCCACGGCATGGATCCCGTCCCCCAGCGCTTTTCCCCGCCCGCCAAGCGCCTCGTCCTCCTCGTAGGTGCGGGCGCCCTCCTCTCATTTCTGGATCGTGGTGATGATGTCTGCCATCGTTCTTATTGATTCCCGATTGGGGTTTGGATCTTGAGCTTTGTTCCAGCTGATGGATTGCGTGCGGACAAGTTCTTTGAGCCAGATTCGGATGGACGGTTCAGGGCGCCGTTTCTAAGGAGCGTGATAAAGGAGAAGGGGCGCTGGGGAATCTCGCATGCCCGTCCTCCGACGGAGTCGAGGCCTGGGCACGTTTCCATCATTGCTGGGTTCTACGAGGACCCGAGTGCAGTCACAAAAGGTGTGACATGTTCTTGATAGGGTTTATTACGTTTTTCGAGCTAGAAAATGATATGTGGTTTTTTTGTTGTTGTTTTGATGGCCTTAGAACTCGGGACATAATTCCATTAAGCTGGACATTACCATTATCCTAAGCATCTGAATCTTGAACAACCTAAATAGAACTATTGATCACCCAGCTTTTGCTTTTAGGGTGAACAATTCAGTGCATTCATGTGATACATAGCACAGTGATGGGTCTTTCTTAATCATGTTTTGCAGTGGATAGTCAGCCACAAAATTCTATGGTGTATTAATGGAGCATAGAATAAGTGCTTATAAAATTATTTTTTGCTGTTGAAGCAGAGTAGCAGAAAAAGTCAGTAGAAGATGATATTTTAAAGCATCCGCGGCAATTAAATGCACAAGTATAACAAATGATGCTGGATAATTTTGCTATATCTTGACTAGCTTTATTTGTCTATCTTGACCACCATACAAATTACGGTGGTGGTCCAAGTCTTGAAATGAACCATTGAGTTCAGACTTAGAGCTTTGTGCCTTGAATAGTTATCAGCCACTGAGAGGTCTTTGTAGCTTCTGCGCATGTATAATCTTCTTGGATACTTTGTGACAAAATATTCTTGGATAATCTTTTGACTCTCCTATTAGGTATGCACCACTATCGGGTAAGAAGTTTAAGTTTTAATTGCCATGAGTTATGATAAATTGTTACCTAGTTGACTCGAAAGGTCCCTCAAGATAATCTTTTTTGCATAGTCACTCAAGATTTAACTTTTTTGCATCACTGCCAAATGTAGGACTTCCTTACTTTATCTTTGACCTCTTTGATATCTAGATTTTGATGCCACAACTATAAAATTGTGGGTTAACCTATTGGTTTGAAGATGTTCTAGAACCTAGAAAGGTTGTAATCAATCAATTATGGATTAGATAAAGGAGTACTAGAAAGCTGAAATGGAACATTTTTTTAATGGATAAAACAAGTTTAGACTAAGATAATATAGCATCTTTTTTAAATATGACAAAAAAAATTTGTGTTTTATGCGCTCCTCTCTCAAGTTGAATCAAGGAGGTTCTAGCTGTATAAATTTCATATACAGATACCCAGCAGCTACAATTAGTTTCATATGTCAGATATCCTCAGCTATGATAAATTTATGGTAATTTCATTTTTCTAGAGATAACAAAAAGAGATTTGCTTGCTCTTATTTTGACGAGCGATGTTATTTTAAAGATCAGGCCTAGGAAGATCCATGTAGCCCATCCCAAATGGCTGAGACATTTTGGCTGGTTGTTGTTGAAGTTATTTTCTGTGGTTTACATTTGGTCATCAGTCATTATCCTAGGATTATTAAAGTCAGTTTATCTGGTTTGAACCTGACAAGCTTCTTGCTAAAACAATTTTAAGGTAGGAGTGGTGTTCTGTTTGTTTGTTAGATAAAGAGCTATCTTCTGTTAGTATTACTGCATACACTTAAAAGATTTTGTTGCTTGTGTAGTTTCTCAATACTAGACTTGGAACACCTGATCGAATGTTTTATGTTAATCACTTACGTTTTGTGTAATACAGAATGTCCTTGAAATATTTTCTTAGGTGTATATTTTGTCCTGTTTTGCAGGGTGGAAAGCTAATCCTGTTGAGTTTGATTCGGTTTTCAACCGAAGTCGCCATACCTTTGCTTTTGGGAGTCCTGATATCATTCCTATATTCTGCCGAAGTGTGCCTCACAGCACCTGGGCGACATATCCTCATGAATATGAGGACTTTGCTTCGGGTTAGGACAACTGACATTAACTTAAGTAGAATCTTACTCTTACTCTAGCCCTTTTGAATTTCTGAATTAACACATGCAGCTTTCTTCCGCATTTTTATGCTAAAATGATCAAATTTTTAGGTTTTATAGCTTTAATATTAAGCATTTTAAATCTGAGCATCTTATTGGTTAATGTAACAATCTTGATTTAAAATGGAAGTTATTCATCTTTATGCCAAAATATTTAAGATTTTGATCCCAACTGACCTATCAGCACAACAGCTTGCATGTGATTGCCTTAACAACATGGTCCAAAGTGCACCCCAATTCTTAGTAGTAAGCTATTAATTCCGTATATACAAGTCCAACTGTCCAACTGTCCTGTTCAAGTGCTTTGGGTGTTATACCTAGCCTTTCAAGTCCTAATTCCTCTATTAGAATATAACATGTAGCTCAGAAGCAACAAAAAGTTGGAGTAATCTGGGATTCTAAGGTAAACATATTACAAATATTAATGCACTCAGTGGCCCATAGAGTTTTTTGCTTGTAAGACCTGATATATAATCTGTTGGAGTAGACCTAACAATGTGGCGAAGATGCTGAAGGCCTAGTGATTGCTGTTAGGTCACTACTTGGTAGTAAAGAACTATAAACTCCCAGATTGGGTGATCTCATTGGAGTCACTTTGCCTTTTAAGACGAGTAGCTTCTATTGTCTCATGGAAACTTGTTGCAGTTCCATTCTTTAAATGTTAATATTTTACTAAGAAAATTTTAAAATGCATGATTCATTATGCTAAATGCATGCTTGATAATGTTGAATTTGCTTGGAACTTTTGATAGATCAATCAAAAGATGGGAAATCTCATAAGCATACTTTTGTTATGTTCTAATAATTACTTTAAAGGTACATCTTTATGTAGAGGTTTCTTTTGTACAAGTGTGTTGGTTGTTGATCCATAAATTTGGTCATCAAATTTCAAACTGCTTGTAAGATGAAAAGTTGGTGTATGTTGACTGATCCCATAGAATGGTGGTTAGAGGGTCAAGCTATTGATTAAGAATAAAGAACAAGATCAAGAGGGAGGAAGTATTGACTGAAAAGAAGCAACAAAGGACTATGAAGAAAATAAAATGACTGAATAAGATGTCAAAACCAAGGATTTTAATTTCGAATGATACCGCTTGTATCGAGCGGTATGTATCGATCCGCCAGCAGATCAGTACGCGGATCGCCCGCTACCGGGCGGTACCATCGATTGGGGCTATTTCCGTGCCGTTACCACATGAAATCGGTCAGTGATGATGGATTTCGACTGTCGCCGCTCAGTAGCGACCGTCACCGCCCGCTACCGGGCGGTATTAGCCGAGGTAGAAGGAAGAAGAGGGAGAAAAAAAGGGAGAACTTGGAGATCCGGCGTCGCCCTCCCTCGATAATCCCGATTCGTCGCTGCCCTCCCTCGTTGGACATGGCAGATGAGATGTCGCCTCCTCCTCATTTGAGGCAACGAGGGCTCAGCGTTGTCGGTGACTTCTCCTCATCCGTGCAGGGAGAAGCTTCGTGGGGAAAAGAAACCGAGCAGAAGAAATGAGGCACGACATCGCTTTTTTTTTCGCTGGGAGAAGAAACCTCACGACGAAATGAGGCAATGTTTCTTCTCCCCACGCGGGCGGAAGAAACGAGGCGACGCCGCCCCTTTTTTTAAACTTATTATACACACACACACACACACACACACACACACACCCCGAGTGGTATGTTAGAACGTACCGCTCAGTATACTTGTATCGTACTATACCAAGCTGAGTTCGATACTCTGGTTCGGTACGAAATTACAAACCTTGGTCAAAATATAAATGTAATATTAATATACTTGAACAACAAAAGAACAAAAAAGAGAAAACAAGATGGGAAGTAAGAAGAGAAATTGAATTAGTGAATTGTCTTACAATAAAAGATATGGAGGTTGGATTGATGTGTCTTTTGCCTGATCAACAAGATAAAGAGTGCATTTCATTGTGCCCTAGGCAGGTTCAATGTAACCCTGACCCTTGCATGCGGAATGACTGTTTCTATGATTTGAACCCTAGTCATGCAGGTTGCAAAATATGGTGCAATATGATTTGTGCTTTACATACATTGCCCAATAGTAAGTTGAGTTAAGGATTTTAATTTTGACTCTACCAATCTGTATAGATTGGTATTTACCAGTCTGATGATCGATTGGATTGTGGACTGGGCAATCTCACCTTGTCTTTACTGGTTGCATCCAATAGCAAGTTACTTTTCTGCATTTATTGGTAAAACCACAAAAATCCGACCCTTCTGAGATTCTCATTGTTGGGAGCCCTTTGCATTGAGTTGAATTCTAAATGCATGAGGGTCTTGAGTCCTGCTACGCATGTTCCAGAAAGGTCAGATGTTTTATGGGTTTACCAATAAATGTTACTTTCTGTGACTCAAAGCCTTGGCATGTAGGTTGAGTTAAGCAATGGATTTGAATGATGTAGATCTGATGAAGTTACTAATTTTGATGCCATCTAATTAACTTCATCTCAAGTTACAACATTTTAGTACTTTAATCATGTAAGTGTGCAGGTTGTTTTGTGTAATTGATCAGAAATTCTTGTTATTGTTCCAACTTCCAACCGTGAGAGATCGTTATTATCTTTATGTGATTGCCAATTTATATCAAGTTGCTTAGCATACAAGAACAATGTTTATAATTCTTTTTGAGTTCTGTTGCAGATGCATCCTTCCTTGATCAGTGGTCATTTGATCAATTTCACAGCCTTCTGAATAGGTCTCGCAATGATCCTAAATTAAGGCAGATGCTCCTACAGGATAAATTGGTCATATTCTTGCATTTACTTGGTTGTGATACAAATGGCCATGCACACCGGCCTTACTCATCCATTTATCTTAGCAACGTTAAGGTCGTTGATAAAATTGCAGAAGATGTCTACAATCTCTTGGAAAACTATTTCAATGACAATCAGACGGCTTATATTTTTACAGCAGACCATGGAATGAGTGATAAAGGTTTGCGTGAATATTTATGCACTCTCCACTTTTGCTTTTATATGTTCATTTGATCTTATGGCCTCGTATATTATGCTTTTGTTGTCTAAACAAGTGCAAAAAGTCGTACCATGTTCGTACAATGGCATAGGCATTATATTGACTGTGTGATATGCTAACCGTTGACCAACATGGCACCATGCTGCACAGATGACATCTTAGATTCAGATCATAGGACATAGCAATAAACTGGGTAAAAATCATTATTGCCATATTTATATCTGGAGCAGCTGTGAACGATCAATTAATAGCTAGATGAGATTTTGAACTCCATATTAAATTGAAGTAATTCTACAGCAATTTATAATGATTTATCATTGCATTTAATTTATTATTCTAAACTTGTATGGATAGATGTATATTCTGGAAATATTATTTTTTTCATAATAGAACTAGTAGATATATTCATTTTATTAAAATTTATCAATATAATAGATGTAGCTGATATGTGACGTGAACAAAGAATCAATTGATGCAAACTTATCTTTCTAGTGGTGTGTAATATGGAGTCATGGACAATTGGAAACTGTAGTAATAGGTAGATAAGTGTCCAAAGTTTATGATATTATGGAGTATTTGTTTCTCAAAAACAAATTTTAACAAAAATAAAATAGAGCAAAGTTCGTCTTATCGGTTCGTACTGATGTACTGACCAACCGTCGGTATGGTACGAACGGAGGCGTACCAATGTACCATATGTTGGTACGCCTAGGCGTACCAATGGTAAGATAAAATTGCTGAAAATAACTCTAAAAATTCCAAAAAATAGAAAACAAAGTTGGGTTAGGGTTTCTAATTTGGAAATAAATATAAATTTAGTATAATTTTAGCAAAAACAATCTAAATTAAGAAAGAATAGTGACATATCTTTTTTGAGTTTTGTGGAGTAACTTTATGGTATGTTCTGGATCTTCTATTAATATTGAATTATCTACAAAGAAATAATTTGAATTGTTAGATTATTTTTTAAACAAATTAAACTTTAAAATTCAAATGAATTAAGTAATTAATCGATGGATATATCTGGTTTTACCACCAAAAAGAACGACGGGACTTCACGGGTGGTGAATCGAGTTCCTCGATCCTATGTATCTATATATTAATTTGATATATTTGTTGAACCAATCCTAAAAATGATTTCATGAGACCATTGACTCGCCAGCATCGCCGCCATCATTAGTCGAGGCACTGTTGTCCATGTCGTTACTATGTCTATGGACCGAGCGGGTTGTTGAATATGGTCGAGAAGGTGTCTATCACCCGACTCGATTCTTTCTAGTGGTGCGGTTAATGATATTGCCTGTCCCTTTGCCTTTGCCTTTGCACATTGGACAAACAATTGTGGCAGATGAAAGGGTTTAAAAACCCTTTCCTATGGTTCAAACAGTCAAATTGACAGTTTGAAGTAGAGCAATCTGAGCCCTTGATCGATAGCAGTCGAAATCCGACCATTACCGATCGGTATAGATCGGTAATAGTTGGATTTCGATTGTTACCAATCGGTACAAATCCCATATCGCCCTATACGGGGTCATGTAGCTAATGGGTACTGCTCGGTAGAGGGCGATCCATGTACTGGTTCCCTGTCGGATCGATATATACCCCCCATATCGAGCGGTACAGCTCATAACAACGAACCCTGAAATGAAGTACAAACGAGGTGATTAAAGTGGAGAGAAACTTTGGGAGTATCTTGTGATTGACATGCTTTATGGATAAAGAGAAAAAAATAAGATACTCCTAAGATGTCATGCTTTATGGATCTTAATGTTTCGTCGGGTAGTTAGAAAACTATATCTTACAAAAATTAGTGTAGCTTACATAAGAACATTAAGGTGGATTATAGAATTACTACAAAGAATAAAAAATGTCATTACAGAGGTTATTATTAATGTAAACCATTTAAGATGATAACGTATTCAAAGAAGAACTCTATGTGCTATGGTTAGACACAATGAGTCCATTAGAACTACTGGTGTGAGGAGAGTTTGATGGATATTTAAGAAAACTTTATTAGAAACAAAGAAATGATTCATTACTTTTAATTTAATAGAAACACAACCCTCCATAAATCTCTATGATGCGAAAAGAAAGGTGTAGCTAATCCCAAATAATTGCAACATTGTGGGCTTGTGGCTTGTTGTTATGGTTGAACTAAAAGCTACACTATGTCAAACATGGCAAGCTTTGTATCTTAATATGGTTTAAGACATTTATAATAATTCTAGAAAATAAAACAATTTTAGAATTAATTTATCAATCATCATTAATTCATTATACTACTTTAGCATTATTTATACTACTATAACATGATCTGTCCAATTTTTTACCTTTAAAAAATCAATATTATTCTTGGGCTATGAAATGTGACATTTAGAATATTTGATCGTACCTTTGTAATAATTATATTACAACAAGGCCATAAAATCTCAAATAAGTTATATGCAAAAAGTCATATGCTCAACTAAGTTAAAGATATTTAAAATTTTATTTATAGTTTCTGTTAAAATCTTTTTAAGTCTTCCTCTATCTCTTCTCATGTCATTAATAGCAATCATTTCACCTCTTTTAATTACCGTATATGGAAGTCTGTAGAGCACATGTCCTGTTCGTACCATCTTCTTCCTTATTTTATCCTTTATCAAAGTGATACCTAATTATTTACGAATAGAAATATTTTTTTTCCTATCTTTTCTAATAACTCTATAGTCTATACATCGACCTCAACATGCTCATCTCAACAACACTATATATATATGTTGTTTTTTAAATGTCCAACACTCGGATCATTTTAGTCTAACCTTTGTAATGATTATATGATAATAAAATGCAACATTATTCGATCTTGATTCCACCCATTTTAATCTTTTGATTTATTTCATATCTGAGTCCAAGCTAAATAATTATTGTTGTTTGAAAAACAGCCAAATAACATGTCACTTTTTATTATTTATTTCAAACTAGGTGTGGATCTAGCATTTCTATTACTTCATAAAGTTTTTTTCCAAGAAACAAAACTAGAAAGCATCTATTGATTCACTAGGTGGGTATAAATAGTGCTCATAGCATCCACACTAAAAAAAGAAGCAAAAACTTCAGGCCAATGGCCCATCCGCAAAAAGGATGCCCTGGTTGAATTAACCATTTTGGCCAGCCAATCGGCATTGGAATTTCCTTCACAATAGACATGAGTGGTATTGACTGATTGGAAGTAGTGGAGTAAATGTAGTACATTCGGAATTATGTTAATTAATGACTAGGGAGGCTCAATGTAGCCTGCTAATATGTCAGTGATTGGTTTATCATCTGCCTCAGTATGAACACGCTGAAAACCATGTTGGATAGATAGCATTAAGCCTTCTTTGATGGCCATAGCTCGTAGAAATGGCTGCCCGCGCCTTGCAAGAACCTGCCACCTGCAAACAAACGGCGACCCAACTCATCTTGGACCAAAAGATCTGCTCCACCAGAATTTGAACCATCGCAATAAGACTATTCAATCTTACCCATCCCGCACTGGGTTTTTGCCAAGACACCGACATCTCTGAAGATTTGGAGCACACTCCCTCAGTAACATTTGTAATAGAGTGATGGCTTTGGGAAGATAAAGAAAGAATGAATCCGTTTAATTTATTATTAGGAATATCTGTAATTTATTAGAAGAATGTTACAAAATAATTTTGGCAGAAAAACAAACTGACGGTTAATTCTGTCATTGTAAAATGCTAAAAGACTAGTTATCTGTTAATGAGTGACCCTTTTTTGCTTGTCATTCTTTTACAATGCTTAGTTTCCTATTAAATCAGAAAGCTATATATCTACACATTAAGGATTTAGGTACCAGTTGTTCCTCTTCTGGTACAGTGTCAGATTGGTGCAGTATACCATGCCCTTCCGCTGTGTAAAAGTATAACAAGATTATTTGAAATGTCGGTGTACTTCAGTGTGGTTGGTACTTGGTAGCATACTAATTGAGTTCGGACGAACACATTGTGGTCATTGTGGATGGTACGGACATTTTCGTAAAGATGCTTGATAATTTTTGGTGCGTGAAACTCCAATCATGTGTTCATTAATGTGGAATGCAACATTTAATGCAAGGTGAAATGATAGGCTGGGAGTGATGGTGGTGCTTCTATGGTACTGTTTTATTTAATTTTACATGATGTCACATGGTTAATTTTACATGATGTCACATGTTTGTTAATTCATGCAATACTCATTGAACTGACTTGATTTTCAGTGATCGTGCAAGAGGTCTCATTTTCACTAGCATGAACTATGATCTTCATAGTTATATGTAGTTTTTAGTCCTTGTTTGAGTTGCTTACAGTTGCTACATGGTTTTGTATGCCTTTCTTTACTGTTGCATCTATTGTATCAATAGGATTTTTTTCCCTTTGCTCCCTACCATACCAGTGCCCTTCCTTCTGACATGCACACATGGAAAACAACTTTATTATAGGAAGTCATGGGGATGGCCACCCTTCCAACACGGATACTCCACTTGTGGCATGGGGAGCCGGTATCAAGAATCCCGGGTGGTTGATTTCTGATAGCCTTTCTGATGATGGTTTCCGTTTTGTTGATGAACATAAACATGATATGCCCACACCTACGGAGTGGGGGCTTAGAGGCATTGAAAGAGTGGATGTCAATCAGGCTGATTTAGCACCTTTAATGGTAATACTATGAATTCTTGATTCATTTAAATTTTGTACCTTAGCAGTTGTTGCTATAATTTTCTTTTCACATTATTTCTTTAACAAATCTAAAAATTTGGCAGGCGACTATTGTTGGATTGCCATGCCCGGTTAATTCAGTTGGAAATTTGCCATTGGGTTACCTGAGTTTAAATAAGGTTGGTTCTATAACCTTCTCTTTTTCTTTTATATAGTACTGGGATTTGCTGCAGTATTAATAATAACATGATGGTACTTCAATTGTTCTTTCAGGTCTTGTGATAATGAAGTTATTTCACTTATTCCAAGACAGATAGTCATCTTTTACTGTAATAAGACATTGCACTATTTATGTGTCTAAATCATTTTTCTTTCCTGGTTCATTTTAAGTAGGCAGAAGAAGTTGAAGCTGTTTTCGCAAATACAAAGCAAATTCTTAATCAGTTCCTCCAGAAGTCAAGTATCCTACATCTGAAGTGCCATTTTGAGAAGAATAATGCACTTATAACACAAATTTATTTTTGAGTTTGATTGATAGGCCATATATGAAACTATAATCTCAATTCAAAAACAGATGGTTTTGTTTGTGAGTTCATGGTATGATTACTGGTAAAGTCCAACCTATTTTTCTAGAGTTTACATTCTGTTACTGAATTTATTATCCATAAATATGAAGTTATTTTGCACATGCATCTTGAATCAAAAGTTTATACAATGAAGAAATCTAAATGTTGAGAGAACTGTGCAAAGAAAATGACCTTAATTTTGCCTTAATTATGATTATTCTTCTTAATCGCCTTTAATTCAAAGGAGATATAAAATCATGTAAGAAGTTGAAGCATTGTGTTATATGCTTACTTAGTTACTACACGTTAGACCTTAATTATGCTGAATCTACCTCACTATGTATTCCTCTGATTACCCATTTAACATGGGAGAATAAGCTCATAAATCATGCAGGAAGTCAATATCCAAGCAGTCAATCTAAACTAATTTTTCCATGTAAAAATAGAAATTCATGCAAGAAGTCAATAATACATTATCAATTTAAGCTAATTTTTCTTAAATACCTCTAATCAAATCTTAATTTATCATTAGGTCCTAATCAATATATTTACTAATATTATTTAGATTAATTACATGAAATGATAAAGAAAATATAGAGAAAAGATAACTGCCTTCAATTAAAGAGTAATTCCATAAGAGCTCGAGTTTAATCCCTCTTTTATTCAAATCAACTCTACTGATTGCCGACTAGTTGGGAGAAAGAATGAGAATGAGCGAGAAAGGGAGTGAGCTTGAAAATGAGTGAGAGTGATTGAAAATGTGGAAGAGAGGGACTTTCATAAGCCTAAAAGAGCTCCCAATAGTCAAATTGACCGTTAAGGGCTGTAAGTGTAATCTTTCAACCAGGCACCAATCGAAATCCAGCCATTATCGATCGGTACCCATCACTAATGGTCGAATTTCAATTGTACTTTGTGGTGAGGCGGTGAGGCATACCACGGTTGGTACACCTCACAAATCACGTGTTTCAGCCGAAACGGGTTGGTCAAGGTTTTGGTCAGCCCTCGGACTGGTACATCCCATTTCTTACAAGGCGGCAAGGCAGTTCATGGTGAGCCCTACCCATTTTCTTTTCAAGTTTTTTTCTTCAATTTGACTTCGCTTATTATAGGGTTAAAGGCAGATGTTTAGTTAGGAAATAAAATATTCGTTTGTTCTTTTGATCCAGAGGGAAAATTTGATCTTGGTTCATAGTTTTGTTTATCATATAAGAAAATAATTGTATGTTGATCATTTATGAAGATATTCTTTTATGGATGGAACAGTGACAGATTAGCTCTCTTAGGCTTCAACCTTTTCTGGTTTGGCACATAGATATTGCTTCTATTAAGCTATTGGTGACTTAAAGTGGCCTGATAAATTCTGTAGCAAACTAGAGAGATTGATGCTTGAAGCCTTGTGAAGAAATATAATGCTGCTATTGTTTCAACTTGATGTTTGTTGAATAGCTTTTCATTATGATCTTATTCCACTACGTTGCATTTACATATAACTTGTGTATTTATCCTGTTCCTGTTGTTGAAAGATGGATAAGAACAAAGATACCTCTCAGAATTGCCCACATCTATTTTGATGTCCTTAATCAGATTTAAAGGGCTAAAGCAGCTGAGTTCGCTATACTTCAGGCCATATAAGCCTTTGGCAAACTTTTCTTCATTTCTTGACCAAATTGAAGATCTTATAGCAGCAAGGGAATACAAAGCTGCCTTGAAAACTTGCCATATCCTAAGGGCTATGTCACTTGAGGGTCTTCATTACTTCCAAACTTATGATTGGTTGATGTTAATGGCAACAATCATCCTTGGTTACATTGGATGGATGATGAATTTAACACTTCATGTTCTGCAGTCTTACACATTTTTGGGAAACATTTTCTTGAAGAAAACCCAAGAGTCTTCTCTTAGAATCACCAAAAAAAATGTAAGTTATTAAATGGTCGGAAATTTTTGCCAATGTTTAATTCTGATACCTTATTCTAATGTTATGTTTCTATGGGAAAATCAATTTCTTTTTCCCATGATCTTGTTAGTGCAGTTTTTGCAGCATGGATGAAATAGATGCCTAAGACACAACCTATATGAATATAGATAATCTCGACGTATAATGCATATGGAAAATAATTTATAATATTTTTTGCTTTACTTTAAGTGTATGTTATTGTTTATATTGCTCTTAAACTCAAACTCATTCATGATTAATTGATATATATTTCGATTGTAGACATCAATTTTCATCCTAAATTTTCAGTAATTCTGCTTTAACTTGTCGCTACGTTAAGAAATAAAATGCTAGTAACACTGATGTTCTAACTTAAGGTTCAATTTTCTTAAATGTAGCTTAAATAGTGATAGATCTCATGAGCAGGCAACATTATTATACTCTTATATATTCATATGCTATATCTTGAACAAACTTTTAATTAATTCTTCATCTCGGACATTCATGTACAATCAAAGGACACATTGCTTAGATTATTTGATAGCAAGGTAGGTGGGATGTCAATTGTTACATTTACAGTGGTGGGAAGGTCATTCAATGTGATATGAACATGTTCAAAGTAGATCTAATGATTTTGTGATTGGATGAGATAAGTCAATTTGGATCAATGGTGTGAGAATAGGTAGAAGGCCTAAGAAAACTCTATTTAGAGCTAAATGACAGGAGAAGATCCAAGTAATTGGTAACAAGGGTTGCCTTTTCGCTTGGGCTGGTACAAAACAAGCGGGTACTTATCGGTTTGGGCATGAACCGGTCCATGGACCGCCCTTGTTTTGTGGCAATTTGCTCTAACCCATTTAAACTTTTAGGACTTGCGTTCACAAGCCCTCATCACCCAAAAGAGAGTGTGTTTGGCCTCATTCTGCCGCCCATCGCCGCCTCGTGCCTCCATCCTCCTCTTCCTCCACTACCTCCTCCTTATCCTTTCTCTTCTTCCTCCTTCCCCTTCCTCATTCTGCTTGTTCCTTCTCTTCTTCCACCGCCTCCTCTTCCTCCTTCCTCTTCCTCTACTACCTCCTCTTCTTCCTTCCTCTTCCTCTAGTACCTCCTCTTTTTCCTTCCTCTTCGTAACACCAGTACATACCGGTACTGACCAGTATGTACCAGTCTGATCAGGTCACCGAGATGGTCCGGTACCCGAAATAGCAATCCTTGGTTGGGATATCACATCTTATTTTTGTTGTTGTTGCTGCTCCAGTTGTACAGTGTTGTCTTGAATTGGGTGACATCTCACATTACGGATCTCAACTCTCTAAAAATTGAAGAAAACCAATATTTTAAGAGATGCTGACCAAAGCTGCAAAGTCCATGGCCTGATCCTTGTTCAAATTGGTATGCCTTGTTAAATGCAATAAGGCATTCCATGATCCTCTGCTCTTCATATATATCACATAACCTATTCCGCATGTTCCAGAAAGTTAAACAATACACAAAATGGTGCCCAAGAATCTTAATGCTTTGAAACACAAAACACACGAACTTGTATTGGTGACATAGAACTTCATCATTTCCAAAAGGATATGTTATCACATTAAGAATCAGAGAACAAATGGCTTGAGATTAAAGGGTATTCTAGATTTCCAAATTCTTTCAGCCAAATGAGACATGTACAGAAGGGTTTCCATACATGGTCAGATTAGGATCATGAGCCGAACACAAAGTACAAATATTTACTGGTAACATCAAACTTCATGATTTGCAAAAGATTGTTGTTGTAATTATATTATCAGAATGCAAGTGACTTGAGCTTGTTAGATATTTTAGAGTTTCCATATATGGATGATTTAAAATTAGGATCATGAACTTGGTGAAGGTACAAAGCTTTTCAAGATAAGTCTATCGAACTGCAAAACTAGAACATTTAATCTCTGACTCTCTTCTACTATTCTGCCCGATAATTCCAACTTTTCAAAATATCTATCTCTTGAACTGAAAAGGAGAATTCGACAATATAATTCCTCATTCTTAAATAAAGTGCAACTTGCATCAAACTTAAAAGTTAACCTTTTTTCTCACCAAGATACCAGAATGCAGATGCAATATACCAACAATCGCATTCTGTAATTGATTAGGACTAGGATTCTTCCTAGTTACGTCGATTAGAAGAATTCTGGGTCAAAGCCAGGAAGCATATCCTGCTACTCACTGGAGAACAGAAATCTTTATTCTATGAAAATGGATGCTAACTGTAAACCAACCAAGCAAAATCACACATTCAAAAGGAATATATTATGGATCCTACTCCTTTGTGGTACTATCAAAACATCCCATTGTAAAAGTGAACCTAGTATCCCCGTATTTTTAACCAGAGGGCATCATAGAGTTGTGATCACCAACCAAGCCTGAGTAAGGAAAGCACAAATCATAAAAATGAACAACATCCTCACAAAATAAATGTAATCCTAAGTTTTTCTGGATCATAGAGATGTGAAACACCAAAATTCTTACCCTTAAAATAAAAGAAATACATATAAAGAAATAAGTGGATGGCGGTTATCATTTTGGTACTTCTTCCAGTTTCTTCCATTGTTTTTCTTCAGATTCACTCTTCTACTTCCCATATTTCATCCCTGAGCCTCTTACTGATTGTCAGCAAGTCTATTAAGATTTTGTTACTGTTCTATTTCATCCACTTTGTATTATGCACATGTTAAGTTTACAGATAAAATTATGGTAGATCTGTGAGACCATCATACTAGTGGCCACTAAAAAAGACCTTGGGACCAGTTGCCACTAAAAAAGACCAAAGGAAAAGAAATAGGAAGTCGGGCCTAGGCATAGGAACTTTTGTTGAAAATCTGGATCCATTACCCAATCATAAATCAAAGTCAGGTTCGAGGTTAGGAATGTGGATTTTGGACAAACCAGAACTTAATTGCTATATCAACATTAAATTGATCGAACTAGATTTGGTTTATGTTTTATTCTTATTAATGAAATTGTAAGTCAGTTATTCCTATTATATTTGTTTGTTGAGAAATTTGGATCAAACCAGGTTGAGATTTGATCAATTGAGAAAATCAAGGCTGGTTAAATGTATAGTTTATCTCCATAATTGATCATTTGACGAAAATTGGTACCTATTCAGGTTAGATTCTACTTGTCTAAATAAACTAGTCAAATTGTGAACATGTTGTGATGTCCGAGAACTAGGTCTAGGTATAGTTTATCAATTGTGAAAATCAGGTTTTGATTTGGTCAATTGAGAAAATCAAGGCTGGTTAAGTGTATAGTTTATCTCCATAATTGATCATTGGTGAAAATTGGTACCTCTTCAGATTAGATTCTACTTGTCTAAATAAACTAGTCAAATTGTGAACAAGTTGTGATGTCCGAGAACTAGGTCTAGGTAGGATCTGAATCTGGCAATTTATAATTGTTTAAAATTTGTTACACCTACTATTTTTTATTGTAATTGATTGGATTTGACCTCTATTTTGTTTCCAACTGTTCTGATATGGCAAGTTGTAAACAATATATAGTCCTTCCTTTTATATGAATCCATGCTTTCTGCCTTGTACACACACTAATAATGTATCTCGGAACCTCTTATTTTTTACTTGTATATTTGGCCTTTTCTAGTTAATAATTTTTTGTTTCTAGAAAAAATAATCTTTATTATCTTGCAGGTATATCTGGGTGGATGCCTGTTGATGAGTTTATTGTCTGTTATTCTTTATCTGGAGAATTCTCCTCTTCTTTACCATGCCTATATATCAATGACAGTGTTCCTGTGGACACAAATTCTTTCTAAGCTCCAACTTCTAAATGCTATATGGAAAGAATTGTCTGCTAGAAATTTTATATCGAATATGAAGCTTTTATCTGTTCTCGTGATGTCGTTTATCATTCTTGAATTTCTGGTATGTTGCTAACATCTGTTATCCAACTTTTGACAAACATGCAAGTAAATCTGCATATTGAGTTTCAATTATGCTGGTACAGGTGGCAAGCTTTTTCAACAGGAAGTTATATACTTGGTTTTTTCTCATTGCTGGGATACTTGCTGCATTACATTTATTTTTTATTGCCTCAGGACGACATATAATGGCTCTTTACTTATGGTCGTCCTGCTGGTTCTTGTCCATGTTCACGTTGATGCCTGCAGAAATCCCTGACAATAACCCTTTAGTGTAATGCTCATACCTCCTTTTCAGTTTCCTTCTAGATTTTTGTGGTAGTAACTAGTAATTACTATCAGGAAATGTCCTTCTCGTTTTTTTTCCTTATTCTTGGGGAAATTTTTTGCATGCTTGAGCTATACTTTACAATATTTGCATATCTAATGACTTTGAAATTTTGCTGTTTTTTCATTATCTTTTATCTGCTTGGATAACCTGATTAATTTATAATTTCTATAGAATAACTGCTTTAGCGTATAATTATGTGATATACTCTTGTGCTAGAAAGGAACAGAACAGGGAACACTTTCAGGAGAAAAAGATATAATAAGGTTCCCATTTTTATGATGCTCTGACTTCCACAAATGGAGATTGTTACAAAATGAGATTTGTAATTGACTGTAAATGAGTGGTTCTGTTAAACCTTTTCTTTTTCTGACCAACTGGACTTCACATTAGTTTAGCAATATTATGCACCACAGACATCTATATTATTATATAATGTGAAATAGGATCTATAGAGTATAGGCCATGACGAGCGTTAAGTCCTCATCCAATGGGCATGCTGTTTACATCCATGTGGACAGTGCATTCCCGTTCTGCAACCTGTTGTCTTTTCTTTTTGGCTTTAGCTATTTCTTCTCAGTATCATCTCTCATGTGCAAGGCACATCCTTGAGACTAATGGGTGCTGATGTGAAGAAAAACCCATTTTGCTACTGTGATTTGTTCATTGAGCATTGCTTCTGGTTTTACAAGTTGTTAAAAAAAAAATTCTGATTTTTATTTTAAGGTTTTAATTAACTAGTGTCTTATTGCAAAAGAATTTACAGAGAGCTTACATCAAATGAATCAAACATATCCCTAGGAACGATTACAATTTAGTGGAAGCTTGATCTAAAAGCTTGTTTCTAGAAGCCTCTCATATAACCTATGCTTTCTTGCAAATCTTTCTAAGAAAAATTGTTTAACACGTCATTTTGCTCAGAAAAAAACATTTGAAGGAATAGGTAGGTGGAGGAAGAAATAAGAAAAGAACATGCATTCCCCATTCATCGCTGTTGCCATTGCCATCATCACGATCCTGTTCTTGCTAACTTTCATATTTGCACACGCATATATCATAACGACACATAAGCTTATATGCTACTATATTAGGAACCCAGTGAGGGATGAATTGATTAATGTTGGCCTGACTTGGTTCCAATGCTCCAAAAGAACTTACATAAATGTGTTTTTGTGCTGATTTAGCTAACTAGTCACAGTAGTGTCGGATTCATTGATATGGCTGCTTCAAGACATTTGATAATTTTTTATTTGAACTAGTTGTTTCATCTGCCAGCAATTATTCTATGCTTTTAATTAGTCAGTTATTCTCTGAATGATGTGCTTCCAAGATAGGGGAAGCTTTTAACAAAATGAATGACCGAAATAACCAGAAAGCTTTTGCAGATTGGACGATCTTTGGGTTTCTTTTTAATCCATTTTGAGATGGTAACCTTCCTGTTTGCTGTTGGGCTCAATTAAGTTGGGTCATTTCCTTCTTTTGACATGGACAAGAAAACCCTATTATTGTAGACTTGGTGCATAATCTTTGCATTGGTGATCTGCTATTGGCCATATCCATCCACATGCTCATTTTTTAATATAATCATCTCAATGGAGGAGTATATTTCATTCATTAACAATTGTTAACAGTGTTTCAGATGTTATCATCTATTCTTTCTAAGCAGGATAGATTAAGATGAGTACTTTACAGGTCATTGCCTTCTTAGAGTCCAATTCACTTCTTGGAAACTTCTGATCAGCTAAATGATTAAGAAGTTATGATTTCTGATTTGTGCAAGCTTCAGAAATGGTTGCTTTATTTTTTATTTAAAAGCTTTTGCTACAATTCTGTATCTTGAAATATCCATATTCAGATTCTTGCCGGCTTGCAAAGATCAGCACATATCATGCCATTCCATATCGTGCTAGTGGCTTTGATGCACACACAAGTCAATTTACTGGCATGGGGTATGTTAGTATGCTGCACAGTTTCAAGTTATGGTCAGTTTGGTGTGTGTTGACTGGTATCTACCAGTCCAAGCAAAGACTGGTGCCAAACAATACGGTCTGACATTGGTCAATATTATTTTTGTGATATTTTATGGGGATACCAGACTGTACGCCTCAGTAGTCTGTTAGATTTTTTAAACCAGTTTTGGATCGAGATATAAATTCCTGCTATACTTTACTTGGTATCAGTACCAAGGGTTGCAGTTTTGGGTACTGAACCTGTGATGGTCCATAGCCTGATGGTATCAGTCCAGTTCATGCCGGTGTAATGGTACATGATATAGGAGAGGAGTCATGGGAAATATGGCTGCAATCGATTGCAAGTGGCTAGCGAGCAGCATCACAAGTTGTGGACACACATATCTAAGTGGCATGCAAACCCTAAGTGCCCTTGAGAAAATAAAAGGAAACTGGACTGGACCGGACTGCCTGAAGATGGGCAGTACACATCTCGAATCCTGCCCATAGTAAATACTGGCCAGTAAAAACTGACGAAATCAAGTTCCTTGATCAGAACACTCCTGTCTAACAGAATAGGAAGTTTGAAGTTTGGTGATGATTTTTCTACTACAACTCACTTGTCATTTCTCTGTTATCATATATCTGTCCAAGACATTATCTTAGAGTCACTTTGTTCCTTTGTTTTATGTACTCTAAGACTGTAGTACTCATTTTTTGCCTTCTGAATTCATAGAACCAAAAAGTTCCATGTTCTCAACTTGTTAGTTACTTCAAGCTAGTTTAAAATTCACATTAGCTTAAAACAATTTGGTTATCTAAAATAGTTACTATGGTCTCTATTCGTATATAAAAATTTTAAGCTGTGCTTGCCAGAAAATTAGTTATTTGAAGAAAATTTAAGACAATATATTATCTGGGAACTATAGTGTGCATTTTGGATGGTCATGGAGATCTAATAGAGTTGACAAATGCAGAGTTGCTAGTGGAGGTCTGATAGTATTGATTGGAATGGCTTCAAGGTGGATTCAGTCAAGTAGTCGAGGTGATAACTTCAAGTTATACATTGTTCAAATGAGTGAACAAACGTCTCAATTCCATAAGCTCTTCCTTGTTCAGGTAAATGACGAAGAAAAATCTCTGCTAAGTTCTCTATTGGTATTTTATTGTCTGATTGCAGACATTTCTTTGATAAATTGTGCTAAATGTGTCTCTATTTATGTGTTAGGCTTCTTTAGTTGTGGTATCATCCTTAATGGTGTGGTTATCCACTTCCCACAGGGCTCTGAAGAAAGAACTTCTCCCAATGCACCAGTTAATAAACTGGTCCATAGCGGGTAATTCTGAAATTTGAATACATTATTGATTGTCTATTCATTTCTTTCACGTTTGATTATTCTAGCTAATTTAGTAGTATTTTCCTTGTGATATTGTACCAAAATTCTGGTGCATATTATTTTTATCCTAATGAGAAGGAATCAAATGATAACTAATTAAAAAAGGTCTTCCTAATTCCTTGTAAGACTCGCTAAATGTATTAAAAGGAAAACTAAAGGCTGGATATTTCCTCAAGGCTTAAAGTTCTTCCCTTCAGGTTGCAATTTTGAAACAAGTAACAAAGTAAAAAAGGAACAAAGAACTATAACATGTGAATCAAGCCAATCCCCAGCACCTTAAGGCATTTACTGAAAATGGGTCTTGAGGTCTTCTATGGTCTTGGATTTAAGTTGGAAAGGTGTAGGAGGTTAGCAGAACTTAGGTTCAAAGGTGTTGCTAGCATATTCTGCCTCTGCTGGCATCTAGCAAAATATGTGTAGTCAACATGGAGCACAATTGTGTCGAAATGGGGGTGCCATTGGCACCAAATAAAATTGCACACACAAAACCAAAAATAGATACTGCGAGCTAATAAATAACATATTTGGTGAGGGACCTTATCTGCTCCCCTCTAGCCTTGAGATATGAAATCAAACTATTATTGTAATTTTATTAATCATATAATGCAACAAATAGCCATAATATCCCAAGTTAGCTTCCCCAATCCTTTCTTTAATTTACCTCTGTTTAGGGCAATATCATTGATCATGATAATATTTAATATACAACATAAAACAATATGTCCAATCATAGTTGTGTCGCACCTATAATCAAAACATCAACATTCAAGAAAAAATTTCGCAAGATGTTTGCATAAAGTTTTCTTCAAATATACCAGAGGTATCTAATAATATATTTTTTTGGCAACATGTACTTCAAGGAAGTGTTGCTTGAAATACTGATGCATATCATTACATATATGCAACAAATATTTTATAATAATTATATTCGATATCCAATATAAATACTAATGCAATTTGAAGTATCCATCTTTCATAGCCCTAAAGGGATTTCAGGTATTGTGTTGGTCAAAAATTGAGGTGTGACCAAACGAAGTTGATCTAATTTCCTCTTATATGGTTGATTTGGGCCAATATAAGCTAATACAATTGTAGGGATTGGACCCAACAAGGAACTTAATAGAAATTGAGCAATTGGCTCAGTAAGAACCGATGCCGGCCCACATTGTTAGGTCTCAGACTTGGGTCAGTTTAGTGATATGCCTCAGACTACTCAGCTCTAAATCACTGACGAGAACTGTAGAGTACTTAAGAAAAATTGAATTTAATAGAAGAATATCTTGTCTCAGTCTTATTCAAAAGGATAATGTACATTAAATCGTCTTTCTAGAATACGGCCCACATATTCTGTGATATTACTGTTGCTTCAAACAGTCATTGATGAATAAATGCCTTGATTTCTCATATCTTAATATTCAGTATATTTGGCAGCTAGCACCAAAGAGACAGATGACACATGCTTTTTGTTACCTTTCTGATATTATTTATAAACTTTTCGGTATTTTGAATTTGTAATTCATTGATTCTAAGTAATTTATTCTGCATCATCTTGACCTTCTTGTCATAATTCATCTCTTTGATAACTTGATAATCTCAAAATCACTATGCTAATAATCCATTACTTTGTGTATCCACAGCATTATCAAAATAACCAAGGCACTTATTATTGAGGAAACAGAAAACATAAAAAGTTAACATGATCTAGTAACTAAGCACCAATTGGAAGTGTACATTGAAGGAGGGCATTGAGGCCTTTAAGAGTATGTTAGATGATGGCCAGGGTGAATAACGTAGCAATGATTGGGTTTGTTTTTTAATCAACTAGATCTAGGTGTAGCAAGAACCAAGCATTGCCAGTTTGCATACTTATTGATTCCTGGCTAGATTGGTATGTACCTGTCGATACCTGTGTACCGACGCATGGTACAGCAGTACATCTCAGTGTTTCGAAGAAGAAGAAAAAGGAGAGGAAGGCATAGTCGAGAAGAGGATGAAGGAGGAAGGCATAGGAAGGAAGAAGAAGAAGCGCTGGAGGAAGAGGGAGGAAGAGGAAGATGGAGAGGATGCTATGGAGGAAGAGATGGAGAAGAAGAGGAAGGAGGAAGCGTATCTATTGACAGTGCATGGTGGGCTGCGAACAACAATGAGTGGCAACACAAGGCGAAAGGGCTCGTGAACGCGAGCCCTAAAGTTTGTTTTTTAAAATTTTTATTTAAATGGTTTGAACCAGAATGCCCGAAATGGAGGCGGCCCGCGCATCAGTTCATGCCCAGACGTGTACATACCATCCGTTCCATATCGGCCCGGGCGAAATGTCAAACACTAGCAAGAACAAGTGTTTAGGACTTTAGGTCATAAGGATGACTTTAGCAAGATAAGACTGTATTCATCTTTATGCCCATATAGAAACATGCATGAGAAAAGCGAGAACAGTATCTTTTCTATTGCTAACAGCAACATCTATGTTGCTAGTGTTTCTTCAATTTTGCTGGTGTTTATGCACTATTTGAAAATTTATTCAACTTTCAATTTTATTTATTATTTTAGTGTCTTGAATTTGCTAAGCTGCCTTAGTGTTTTTTTATTTTTTTTCTTTTGCTAGTAACCACAAAATTACAATCTGCAATTCTAGATGTTAAAACGTCTTTTGCCATTATATTTTTGCTGCATGTATAAAGGTCAAGGTCAGATTATGCATTTTAGTATTAGCCAGGAGAGGCAGAGGAAGAATCGAGGCTTGGTTAGAAGAAATAAAAAAGTGACTCAATGGCTCTTGAATTAGTTAGGTTAAGTTGATCTTATTAACATGCATAATATTTTAACTGAACAGAACTTTTAATTGGGTTTTGTAATGGTTGCTGTCTTTTTGTAATATTTTATGCCATCCTAGTTGATATATACCTTAAAGAAGTGCTTATGATGAATGGTACCAACTCAAGTTATTGTTTTCTCAACAGTTGTTTCAATGATCTTACCATTGTTTTCCCCACCTAGTATCCTCTCTCGTCTCACGTCTATCTTCTTGGGTTTTGCTCCACCATTCCTGCTACTGTCCATTGGGTAAGATAGCCTCTTTCTCTGTATCATGCTAAATACGGTCAGTCCTACTTTTTAGCATTTGAAAGATAATCTGATCTTTTGCATATTTCAATCTTTCTACAGATATGAAGCTGTCTTTTACAGTGCACTTGCTCTGGTACTCATGGGATGGATATTGCTCGAGTGTGTGAATCTATATTCTGCTGAATGCCAAGGACCTTTACATGTGAGAAACCTGGAGGATAACCCAACTGGTGGTGGCTATAATGCAAGATATTTGCAGCTTTCTGATATAAGAATTCCTCTCTTTTTTGTAAGACTCTCTACTTATGCTCTATGCATTAAAGCAAAAAGATATATACATTTTTAGAATGGAGTATCAGATAGTGATATTTAATTCATTTAACAATGGCTCTTAAGAGATTGTGCTAAGTTACATCTGTAGTTCTTGTAGATAATTACATGTTTTAGATAATCATGGTAGCCATCTCAGTCCTAGCAGATAATCCTCCCTCTTGCAAGCACCTACTATTCAGCATTTGCTTTTTTTGATGAGAAATCCCATCCATAGCACAAATTTTCCTGGTCCTGTGAGTCACTTTAATCTTCATGTAAGTTTACAGCTCTCATCCGCTCCAATGTTTCTCTTAAATTTGATGAAGGCCTTTGTCACAAATTTTGTGCAAGACGAGCATTAGTATTTTCTGTTATCCACTATTGAGAATTTTATAATGAGATCACATTATACATATTATTAAGATCACTACTAGTAGAGCAGTTGAAAGATTTAAAGAACTCACTAAATGCACTATTTACAAATTTATGGAAAACATTTTGTTGCCTTTCACCAATTAGATTATTTTCTCCGGTCATATCATTATATGGAAAAGCACATCTACCAAGGCTGCAATTCAAGTGGCTTGGTTCAGTTTTTATTCAGCCTAATCATGTTCTGTCTTCTATGCCTATAAGGCTATTACCTAACCTGAACCAGTGTATTTAAGCAAGATTGAAGCAACCATGTGGCTTGGAGAGATGAAGCTTAGGGTGAGAGTATGTTGCATGGGAGTAGGGGACCAGGGAAGGGAATGTGATAAGTTGACATGAGGTTTGACTAATCTTGGTTGGCCTCAAAGTGTTGCAACCTAATATGTTTATTCTACAATTTATCTACTTAGAGGTTTTAGGTAGTGCTTTTTTAATCTCCTTCAGGAAATATGAAACAGTGAAATATGCCAACTGGGAAGTGTATGTTTTTGGTGCTATGAATTATTGGTAGCTTCATTTAAATTTCATCCATATTTTTGTTCAATAAGTTTACAAGGCCTGATTTCACTATTTATTGACAAGATACTTGATGAACTCATGGCTGCCATTGACTAGCTGTTTTTTTACATTTGTAGTTATGAGGCAAGTACCCTTTTATGGTGCATAATTTATGGTAGTTTCCTGCATTTGGTAGTTGTTTATTGAAATTTGGGTTAGTCCTCTCATGATGTATTGTCTTATGGAACATGAGATATGCTTCTTGAATGCTTTAACTGCTATATTTAAGTAATACATTATTCCATATATACTGATTCTGTGGTTTATAAATACCATCTAGAAATGTATATACTTAGTAACTCCACTAAACTGAAAGACTTGTCCCCTGTCTTTTGCCTTGTTCTATTTAGACCATTCAGCAAGCAAGTTCTGAATGAGTTCTGTGATCTTCTTGATTTGATGTATATATTCCGTCTTGTAAAAATAAGGAACAATGTATATGATTCTATGCAAACTTCTGCAATAAGAGAAGTCAAATATTTGTATGTATGATGAAGTGTGTCGAGGACTTTGTGATTCCTAATTTCATGCACTTCTTGCCTCTGGAAATTTCTGTTTCCTCTTTATACATCTTTTTGCACTGTCAATTATTGTTCACATCCAGCAATCAAGTAAAGTTGGAACTAGTTCATCGGTGCAAACAAAAATAATAAATTTCTCCAAGAGGATATGCATATAGTTTCCCAATGTTTATTCATGTTAAATTATGCAGATGGTCTTGTTCAATATTGCCTTCTTTGGAACTGGTAATTTTGCAAGTATTGCAAGCTTTGAGATTTCATCAGTTTACCGTTTCATTACAATCTTCAGCGTAAGCATTCCCTAACTTCTCACTTACCTAATGTAATTGTTTGGTAATTCTGTTATTAAATAGTAAATACTCATTTCTCACTAATGCTAATCTAATTCTTTTCTGCTTCCAGCCGTTTCTAATGGCAGCACTGCTTATTTTCAAGTTGTTCATTCCATTTTTGCTTGTCATGTAAGTTCAACTTAATGTATCATATATAACTGAAGTTCGAAAATTCATTCACCTAATGGACTTTCTTTGGCTGAAATGGGTGGATTTATTTGTTGATTTATATCTAAGCTTCTACACTTGTTCTTTTTGTACAAGTATGACATAGTTCTGTCAATTGAAATTTCTTAATGTTGTTGTATGCAAATGCTAGCTTTATGTCTCAATTATCTTTTTTCAATTTTTTCTTGCTCCTGTACATATGAGCATTCCAGTTGGCTCATGTAACTAGCATTAGATTTCTTGGGTCTGTCTCAAAGTTAGTTTCAGACTTCAGGAACATCTAGACCCCATAATATTTTCTTTTTTTTTTTTCGAAAACAGTAAATCAGCTATACTACTTTAATAATCTAATGCAACGCACACTTTACCCATCCATGCACAGGAGTCCAGTTCTCAGGAGTGAAGACCAATTAGGTCTCCATATCTTATTACATTTACAATTTTTAGTATATGTAGCTAACCAATGTGCACACTCTGTAGATGTGGGATTTACCTGCTTATAGTAAGCCTCCATGGTGGCTGGTCTTTCTTTGTTAAGGATTTTGACTAACATCCCAGCATCCATTTTAATTTCAATTCTTTAAAATCCTCCTTCAGCATTTCCTTCTTTGATTACCGCCAATTCATTTAGATCCCTTCTATATAGCAAGAAGTATTCCTTCTCTGATTACCACCAATTCATTATACTAACAGCCATGTTCTGAAATGAACCTGCATCATTCCATGTGACAAGTGCCATCATTTAAATGCAATAAAAACCCAGCTCCCCGATCATTAGTTCGTTCATTGTAAGCACCATCAGTATTAATCTTGCACCAACCATTAAAGGGTTGGAGCACTTTACTATAATGTGACATATCGCACTTTAAATTACACCATATCGTTTTGTAATTCTATATATAATCCTTTTACACTCTCCTTGAGGTAGGATTTGCTTCAGGCATGATGGTTTTGAACTTTTGATCTTATGTGATCCAAGATTTTTTTCCTTTCATATACAAGTTCAAGGATATATGCTGAGTTGCAGTTCTCTTTTTTTTGAACTTTTGAACATAGAACTATAGCTTGAGTCTCGAAAGTAATGGAGGAGAGTGTTAATTGTTTGTTAGGATATATAGGTGTAGAATAATGAAATATGGTTCAACCATGTTGCCCTCTAATAGTTGGTGTGTATCATGCCAGTGGTTACTGGTGCTGCTTGTAGCTAAGTGTCAACTGTCATGCTTACATACCGTTGTTGATGCATGCATATTAGCAAAGGTGTTGGTACTGTGGCTTTTTTCATGACAAATTCAGGCGACAGGAAATCTGCATGTCCTCATGTTGTGGCAATGAAACCCTCTTACGGAATTTCATCTTTTAGCAATTGGTGAAAAAAATATGATATTGAGCATCAGAAGTGATTTTTTTATTCATTTTTATATACATATGGAGTTTTGAATTTGCTACTTATAACTGCACTTTCCTGGAAAGGGATCAAAATAACATGAGCTTTTATTTTATGAGTTATTTTTTCCCTTTTTTGGTTATGGGTACAGCACAAAGATACACATCAAGACTATCATTAATTTTTATCTGCAGATCCTGGATTACCATTTAACATGTCTCTGTATAAGCTGTTCCTTAATAATAAGTTCTCATCTAGTTTCTTTTATATCAATTTGAAGAATCCAATTGAATAAGAATTAAATTTGTGGAAATAACTAGATATTCTTGGTGTGTATCTTTCTATTTTGGTTGCGCTGTCACCTGAATAGTCAAGGATTGTAACGTGGATAATCTTTATATTGCTCAAGCTATTTAAATAGAACTTTTGTTTTGTTGCTGTTTTGACTCTTGTTTAGTTATTACACAAAAACTGTCAGTTATACCTGTGAAACTTTGTAATATTCTGAAAGCAACTTGTTATTGTGGTTCTTTACTTCCTCTTCCTGTCTCATTGTTCTTTGCTTGCTGCAGATGTGTCTTTAGTGCAATATCCAAGCTTATTCGAGTTCCAAGACTTGGATGCTATTTTATTGTTATAATATTTTCAGATCTAATGACAATTCATTTCTTTTTCCTGGTATGCTGCTCTTCCTATTTCACCATGTATATCTGTAGTAATTTTGTGTTGTCTTTGGGGGTTTTATTATTGTACTTTGTATTATATTACTGTAGTTCCAGTGTAGATTAGAGCATTTCATTTCACACATTCCAATTATAGCTGGCAGTTTTGCAGTGTTTGATAGGCACTTGCATAGTTCATATGCTAGGTTCTTTAAAAGACATGCAATCTGCACACCAATCTATGGTAGCTTCTTTTCTTTCTTGACTAACATATACACCTTTCATGCTGATGTCAAGTCATGAACTCTAACTAATATGCAGGTTTTCAAGGTTCACTATATGAATTAATTGGTGAACACAAAACCACTGAAGTTAAGGCAGAGCCTCTGTTCTTTATAACATTATATATTTTCACTTGAAATGTGTTTTCTCATAGTCAAATGCTGCCACTGTATCTTTACTGAAACTTGGACACTTCGGCTTTCCATACTTGATTAGGCAAAGATCACCTACACACACACATGATTAGGCAAAGATCACAAACACACAGGCAGATTGTTACCTCAGTGGTTCTGAGATCACCTACACACAGGTGATCTCAAAACCACTGAAGTTAAGGCAGAGCCTTTGTTCTTTATAACATTATATATTTTCACTTGAAATGTGTTTTCTCATAGGCAAATGCTGCCACTGTATCTTTACTGAAGCTTGGACACTTCAGCTTTCCATACTTGATTAAGCGAAGATCACCTATACACAGGCAGATCATTACCTCTTTTTGTACTTCGTATCAAACAGTGAGAAGCTGGGATTGGGCCCCCTTTCACATTTAAAACAGAGAGTTGGCATGATCTTATCTGCAAAGATGTAGAAGTGATGAATCATTTGAGGGATCCATGAAGATTGCTAATTAAGATATTGTTGTTTGCCATATAATCTACCATCTTATGACAGTAATTGACCATGTATTAACCTGCACTAAAAGTTAAATGGGGACATATATGTTCATGAATAATATACTTGGCATATTAAAGTGAAATATTTTGTGGAACATAAGCATCACAATTTGGAAGCCATATTAAAGGTGGCTCAGTGTATGAAGCTCTTACCAATGTAGTTATATGCATCCTAAGCAAGAGAAGTTTCCATGAGTCTCAAAGCAATGATGACCTTGCCAAGGCTTAGGTCCAAAAGGAAACAATAAGTTGGTCCATTTTGGAGGTAGGTAATGACATATACTATCTCTAGCTATAGGCCCTACTCGAAGGTGGGTTGAAAAAGGCATCAACATTATGGTGTGGTCATCATATGCTTATATTGTCCAAATTATGGAATTATAATGATAGTTGAAATTTTACTTGTATTAACTGCCATATCAATCACGTGACTAGAGGGTACATGTCAACATACCATCTGATGTATGCTAGTTGCAGTCTAATAGGTTACTAAAACCGGTGTATGACTGGTATTTAGATTCTTGATCCATATATTGTCATCTTTATGTCGCACCTATTCTTCATAAAAAAAGGTCCAAGGTTCCAGTCTTGATGACATTTGTCAAGTTAAAACATTATTTCTGTCAATTCTGCCAGATCTTCACAAATGGGACCCTACAATTTCTTGGGCTGCTGCTTAAATTAAGCAAACAAGTATTACCATTGCACATGCTCCTGTTTATTTGATAACTCAGTTTATGGCAGCCAAATCTCTAGTTGAGAAATTTCATAGATATCACATGTTGAGTTGAAGTCCCAAACCAAGTGGGTCAAATGATGAAAAGTTAGATTGACAGTAGGGAGTCGAGGAAATAGAACAAGATAACTGTTTACCATTTTGTGATTGATTGATTACACAAGTCCTGGTCCAGTTAGGAATATATCCTAGCTTAGCTGTTGGTATGATTTTTGTTCTCTAGATATAGGGAAAGGTGATTAAGGTGTGATGTGTTGTGAAGGTGAGAATAGTGATAGTGCTGTGCCATTAGTGGTGGTGAACATGTGAGGCCTAGAGACAGGTTGTGTGTGATGGAGAGACTAGAGTGCTGAGCAGTGCGCTTGCTACAGCTGCCTTGTGAGGAAAAGCAGCGAGGAGGTGCCACACTACGCGTGTATGAGATAGAAAGGGCTGTGACCTCAGTGCATGAGTGGCTGTGATGCATGAAAATGATTGACAGGATACTGAGGTGTTGGCCTGAGAGCGATGCTCCATCAAATGACCGAATGGAAAGAACGAGAGAGATCAAGGAAAAGAAATCTGTAAACTTCTGTGTGGAGTAAGCTTCAGTTGATAATATTGTTTTGCAGTTTATTACCTACATCACATCAATTAGTTTATCTTACTGATAAAAACTTGCATGTTGATCAAGATAGTAACTATGATTTAAACACATGTATATATGCCTTTATAGACACCTTCATGGGTGAAACCGTATGTTTTTTTGCTCTTGAAAGTACTATTTTATGGAAATTATGCTTCAAACGTTTTTATATGTAGTTCAAATTTATTCCCTTTGATGTGGTTACTTCACAAATTATCTTCCTCAAAGTCCTGTAGCACTCTTCAATTGAGATGGGAAAATTACAAGTGAACTATCGTTGAGGGACCATTCCCGAACTGGTCCAATTATTATTTATGTCAGTTTTATTGGACAATTTCTGGTTAATAAAGATTGCAAGAGCTTTCAGCGTGATATTTAATGAAAAGTTATAGAACTCAGTAGAAATGTCTTTGGAAAGACTTGAAAGCTGAGCCGCATAGATTATTAAAGTAATCATGGTTACTTACTCATGTTCATCTTTACCAAACAGGTTCGCAACACTGGAAGTTGGATGGAAATTGGCAACAGTATCAGTCATTTTGGTCTTATGAGTGCCCAAGTAGTATTTGTTTTGCTGCTTTTGGCTCTTACTAGTATTTACACAAAAGATATTGAAGTACCATCACAGAAACTATCTTGGGGAAAAGCAACTTGAGATGCTACTTTCAGATTTCTGACGTGGGAACTACACAAATGACCCTTATTCTTTTTCAAGTGAGGTAGTTAAAACATCAGAGGTTTTTTTTTCTAATGCCTCTAGAATGAACAATTTATTGAAATTTTGTGAACCATTCATGTATTAAAAGTGTAAATTTCTCTTAGGTTTTCAGGTGCTATTTCTGAGTGTTCTCTGCACTAGTTGTATTGCTACCTACTAGGCTACTTTCAATTTCTTGTCATTATGGTTTTGCTTCATGACTTTCGAATTCGAGGATTATGTTTCTCAGCAACTTTGATGATTCGTTGTCGTCAAGCAATTTGAATCGAATGGGACTCCCAGCTTCTTCCTTTGTCATCCTAACATTGAAGTATTTATAACAGAGAGCTCATGGTCGAGCAGATTTAACATCATTTTCCGATGGAACTCGAGTTTAATGAATGAATGAATGTATGTATGCATGTTTGTTTCCATCCAAAGAAGAAGGATTTAAGATGGTGTCGTCGAGGTGCAGCAGTATGCCTCGCCTCGCCTCACACAATGCAGAATATCCCGGTGGCCCCCCACCGGATCCTCCCTAAACTTTCACGACCAGCTTTATCTATCGATCACTTTTGCTCACTTCCTCGTCGTCTGTGGGTGGTCTCTTTGGACATCTATCTACGCGACACTCGCAGCAACTTCCATTGGTTGCTCCAAGAAAGCAAAGCAACAAAAAGTAAAGATGAAGAGGATAAAAGGCGAGCAGACCAGCATAAAGCGGCCTCCCAACCATAGAGAGAGGAGAGCAAAAAATTATTCTGGACTCTCAACCTGCACCTTCGTCTCTCTGTCTCCACGACACTCAACCCGGAAAACACATCCAAACACTTGTTTGTTGTGTGTCTTTTCTTTCTTTCTTTCTTTCTTTCTTTCTTTCTTAAATATCGAACAATTATCACAAGATATATATATATATATATATATATACATATGATTTAAAGACTATACATATTGTCGTGTGATAAGAGGTCCAATACAAACTCAATGAAAATGAAGCATCAATGACCCTCACTGGCTCGTAGCACTATAGTTTAAGAACAATGATGGCCTGATAACATAAATTTGTAATTTTTCCCTCCTTTTTCAAGAACATTATTCAGCAGGCAAATCTGTGAAAAAGTTGCAAAGGTGTGAAAAAAAGATCATAGTCAGACAGACAGGAAGATATGGAGCTAACTTTTCCTCCATCGATCCTATCTTATCTTTTTTGGTTGGGTGTCTAATTAGCTTGTGGGAACACTTTGACGGACCCAATAGAATCTCACACCAACTCGAATGCTTAGGTTCTTCCACAAATACCACTCGATGTTTTCACACCACAAACGAAAACCCCTCAGGTAAATTTGTCTCGTTCGTGTTCTATCTGTACATGTTCTATCTGTCAAGCCACAGACAGCTTTTTTGTTTGTGGTGTAAATAAAATACAACATGTTTAAATGTTGTATTCAGATCATTCCTTCATGGCATACATCGATTGTAAATATTATTAGTATTATTTGCTACGAAGCTCGTTTGCTTCATTAACAACTTCTTTTTAGGAGACTTATATTTGTTAGTTAGGAGAGTTATGTCCACAGGATGATAAAGTTGACATTAATCTCGTGTTGCAATACGTTTTCACGATGTCTGCGAATTGCAACCGATTCATTCAAATGGCATGTCAGAATCAATCTTAAAAGAACTTTCATGACGGAGTCCACAGTCAGTCATCTTTCTTCTCTGCTTTGATTGGGTCAAATAATCTCATTCTCGTGCTGAGGAAGGCAAATTTCTACTGTGTGTTTTGTCATAAATTAATAATGGGAGCATGGGAAACATTCCCGACATCAAAGGAGGAACGAGCCATTTGTCTTGTCAGATAGACACAAACAAAAATAAGATGCTCATCAACCATGGAGTTCATCGTATTCTGGGTTGAAAGAATATAATACATGGATGCAAGAGGAAAGAAGAAGACAAGATCAAAAAGATGATTGGGTCACATAAAACCTTACTCGTTTGGTGGAATTTCCATGTTTGGAATCGACATCAAGCCTTTACTCATTGGCTAAAGGCTGTGTGTTTTTGTCTTCGGACTGACTAGTTTCTACTAGATTCTCTGACACTCGAGTCAGTAGAAGGAAGCGAGCCCAATAGTTATGGATCAATTAACTTGTGGGACAAGAATTACTTACTAATGATTCATTCATTCATTCATCAATCAATCTTTCACGCTCCAAATAAAAAAAAGTCCTATTACTACAAAAATGGTGCTACTTAATATTCACAAAACATCTATGAATTACACCTATACTACTTACTAGTCCACTAGATTAAGACAACTTTACAATCTAAATACAAATATGTGAAGATCCACCGATCACATGTTTAGATTTTATTTGGGTGTCATTTAGATTTGAGGAAAACAGGAATCTAAAATGATAGATTACAGACATACTTCTATAATAAATAGGCTTCTTCTATTATCATTCATGTCTTCGACATTAAGTCTTCTTCTTCTTCTTCTTCTTCTTTCCCCTCTTCTTTTGTCCCGTAAAGTCGTCCTTTTTCTTCTTCCGAGAGAAGGCAAAGAAAAAAAAGAGGATGAAAGGATAAAGAACTGGCTGGATTGGGGGTAGGGAAGCAAGCTGACATGGGAAGCAGCAAGCTGCGGTGGAAGCTCTCCTTCCGCCGTCCCCCCGCCGCCGCCGCCTCCTCGCCGTCGCACTCCGCTTCGTCTTCGCCTTCCTTCACGACGGAGATGCCGGTGGAGTTCCTCTGCCCCATCTCCCGCTCCATCATGGCTGACCCCGTCATCGTCCCCTCCGGCCACACCTTCGAGCGCAGCTGCATCCAGGGCTGCCTCGACCTCGCCTTCCCCCCGCCAGGCCTCCCCCTTGACCTCCAACTTCCCTTCTCCTCGCCGGCAGCGGCGCCGCAACTCCTCCTCATCCCCAACGCTGCCCTCAAGTCCGCCATCTTCGCCTGGTGCGCCCGCTGCGGCCTGCCCCCTCCTCACCCCGTCCCGACCGAAGCTGCCCTCGCCCTCGTCCGCTGTCTTATGCCCCGAGATCGATCTACTCCTCCTTCTGCCATTGTCCCAGCCGCCACAGCAACGCCCTCTGATGGCGGAAAAGACGAAAATGATGGAGCCTGCAATGGAGGTAAAGGTGAGGATGTGCGAGCTTCCGAGTTCTTCGAAGGCGGAAAGAGTCAGAAAGATGACGTTTTGGCTTCGGAATCGGAAGTGACGCTCATCATTCCTCCCTCTCCCTTCGAGCGAGAGCGGGAGAAGAACAAATGTTCCAGCTCTTCGACGGTGTCTACTCCGTCGTCGTCCTCTTGTCACTCATCGTCTTCCTATTCTTCTTCTGAGATCGTCGTCGTCGTCGTCGATGAAAGGCTGGATCGGGAGCGAATTCCAAGCGTCGCCAATTCGCCATCGCTGAGGACGACCGATGCGATGGAAGAGATCTTGATCAGGTTGAGAGATTTGGACGCCGGGCAGCAGGAATCCGCCGCGGCAGCCCTCCGTAAGGCCACGAGGGAGAGCCGCGACCGGCGCGTCGCCCTCTGCACCCCGCGCCTCCTCGGCGCTCTACGCCCCGTGCTCCTCTCGCCCTGCGCCGCCGTCCAGATCAATGCCGCCGCGGCAATTGTGAACCTATCGCTGGAACCGGTGAATAAAGTTAGGATTTTGAGGTCAGGCATGGTGCCAGCGCTCGTCGAGGTGCTCCGACGCGGCCACCCGGAGGCCCGCGACCACGCCGCCGGTGCCCTTTTCGGCCTCGCCCTCGAGGAGGAGAACCGCGCCGCGATCGGCGTACTGGGGGCCATCTCGCCGCTCCTCAACATGTTCGCCGGTCCCTCCGCCGACGGTCCCCGCGCCCGCCGCGACGCTGGGTTGGCGCTCTACCACCTCTCCCTCGCCGTTGCCAACCGGTCAAAAATCGCGCGCACTCCCGGAGCATCGCACGCGCTGCTCGCGGTGGCGGCAGAGAGGGACGAGGAGGATGCAGCCGCTCCGGGGGAGCAGGGGCAGGGCCTGGGGCCAGCGACGATAGCGGTGATGGTGATCCACAACCTGGCCGGGTGCAACGAGGGGCGCGCGGCGCTGATGGGTGCAGGCGCGGTGACCGCGCTGGTGAGGCTGATCAAGGGACCGCCACTGACGGCGGCGGAGGAGGAATGCGTGGCGGCTCTGTACTGGATGAGCCAGGGGAGCCTGCGGTTCCGTTGTCTGGCAAAGGCTGCGGGGGCGGAACAGGTGCTGATGAAGGTGGCGACGGAGGGCGGAGGAGGAGGACCCCTGCGGGAGATGGCGAGGAGGGCGGTGAGGGCGATGCGGAGGGAGGAAGACGACGAGGTGGCAGTGGTGGCCCACGGGTTCGGGGCGGAGGCGGACGGTAGCAGCGCCGTATCGGACGGGCTGATATCGTTTCGGTGGCGTCGCAACGGCTTCGGTGGCAGACCGGGTGGCATCAAGTCGGCCAAGTTCTGAAACGAGTCAACTCAGCAACGCATGTTCAGTTAAGAGTTTGCGTCTTGTCTACTTAACACTTATTTCTCGTACGAGTTTTTGTTAGGAGTAGTCAGTGTGGAAGTGCGTGTGCTTTTGTTTTTGAGCTCTTTGTAAATATTTTGGTTGAGAAGGGACTATTGGAAACTTATAGCTGACGAGAGCATCGGAGATGATGCTTATGTGGAGCTTTGGGATTTGTATTAGTATCATGATTCTCTCTCTCTCTCTTTTTCTCTGATGTTGAGGTGGATGAAGAACTTGATGTATTTATTTAGTTTGTTTTTTGTGTAGCTTCGGAATTCAGGTAATTTTGGACTGGTGATAGATAATTGAAGATTGCTCCAACGAGCAATCACATTTGATAGCTTTCATTCACTCTACTCTATTTAAAGCATGTTTTTTTAAGGGAAAAGAACAAAAGTGGCAAGCAAACTGACCGATTAACCTTTGCCGTATCAATTTTTTTTTTAAAATTTCATATGTATGATGTCATATATCAGATTTATGATTTTACATACAACTCAAAAAACCAGTTGGACCGAGAAAAGGAAGGTTTATCGCATAAGAACAACAAAAAGATTTTTTTTTTTTTTTTTGTGCAAGGAAATCCATCCATGTACAGTAAATAACATTTTCAGATTCTAAGTAAAGAAGATCAAGAGAGATTAAATTGTAGAGAACATTATTTTAACTTCTCAAAGAAAGACTGGGAAGACCTCCTCTATCAAACTATACAACTTTCAATTTACTTTTTCTTTGAACCAGTCTATAAAGCCAAAAAACATTTACAAAAAAAGATATCCTTTCCTAAAAGATATTCTCTTTTTGTAAGGCCACTAGGAAAAGAAATTATTCAGCGCCACAGTGTCACAGTGACAAAAAAATTCTGCCCTTTCTTTTCTGATTTAACAAATATCTTAAAATTCTACCATCCAAGTGGCAGCATAAAATTTAAAATAGTCAATTCATAATCAGTGGTCCTCAACAAAAAAAAGTATTATTACTTCTAATCTCCTTCACTAAGTTCTTGATTTTAGTCAATGGAATGCTAAACCGCTGTCCAAGCTGATCTATAATCATATCATCTAAATACCTTGGCCAACTCTGACAACAAGTAGCACCACCACTATGGCTTTGAAGTTTTCTCCTGCTCCACATATAATCTAGTCCCCCTGTAAGAATGAGGATTTCTACAACACATTTTTGACAAAGCATTCGATTTACACTGAGGAATGCAAATTTAGTCGTCTGCAAAGGTTGAATTCAAAATAAGCATTGACGGAGGATAAGATCCTAAGGTTTAATATAATCAATGGCCCCAACATGCGGCACAAAAACAACTAAGGCTTGGTCTTCTCACCGTTGCCGCTGTCTCGCATGAGATAAAGCTGCAAGAAGGATCTTCCTAGGGCCCTACAAGTGATACCAACATGCAAACCAGAAAGGAAAAATGTAACATATTTCTGTGATCTTTAAACATAAATGTAAACCATATCAAAAGAAGAACATGTAAAACAAACTTTTCACAGTTCAGATTGATGACAGCACTCCAGGATCACAATTTTCACAGTCAACATATATATATATATATCAAGTACATACAAAAACCAAAGAAAGGAGGTCACTCCTCAAGACACATAATAGCAACGGATTGCAGATCAGTTGCTTCTCACATACTATGGAAGAAGATAGATCCCGTATTAGCAGATCTGATTATAAATAAATTCCCTATTATGCTAAGTTGACATTATGCAAACTCATGACTCAACATATGGGAAACTATTAATGACAGAATATTGTCCACCAATATTTTTTCAAATTTTATTATCGTGGTCGATGGTGAATTAAAAATTAATGACCTAAGGATACAAGTATGACAATGAACCTTCAACTCCAAACTTCCATCAAATTATCATAAACAAGAATGCTCTTAGAACTTATAGTTGATTTCATAACCAGAATACAATGAATAGCTTCTTTTATAGTCACTAACACAAAACACCAGAAAAACATTTTTTATAAATAATCTTTTTTTACAGCAGAAAATATGGTCAACTCAACTTAGATGATAAATTTAGTTGATCAGTCTCTATTTTACTTATTTTCTTTACTAATTTCATGCTATAATATAAGACAAACAACTACATAGAAGAAACTACTAAAAGAAATTACCAGATTAAAAAACCAAATATAAGAAAGGGAACAAAAGAAAGAGGCTGTGCTGGTCTCACATGCCACTGCCAATTGATGATTTTTGGTCACAATGGTGAGGCTATACGGTTCATGGGATAGAACAATAAGTATCTTAGTGGCTCTTGACAATGCCTGACATTATAGTTTGCCATGCATCCACATCCTATAGCATGCACTGGCATGCAATGGAGCGCATCAGCATGGTATCTGCCTTTATATGCATTGCTTGTATAACATAAAATTGAGTCCTAGCAAGAACCAATACTGTGATCCCCACAAAGTCAGCATGTTATGTACATATTGTGGGTATACATGCTCACCTGATGATGAAATTATAATTAAATGTATAAAATCTGTTTCCTCGGCTGTTGAAACATTCTAAGCTTTCTATTACATAGATTATATTTGTTAAAATTTAAAAAATCTTTTAACAGATCTAGAGCAACTGAGATGATGCTTGGTACACTATACATGCCCAAACATGAGATTATGCTTAATTTAAAATATGTCATCCACAGAATCTATCATTTTCCAATTTTTCACGAAAGCTTTAGTGATCATTTGATATGAAGTGAAATAAAATAGTTTAATTTCTTATTACTACGGTTGAAACCATTTTACCCTTAAGTCAATAATGAATGCTCACCATTCAGGAAAATTGCATAAACATTGAAATATATTGTTCAAACTTCAAATGATGCTAGTTCATCAATGTTTTTATTTAGAAAAAGTATAATAAACCAAACAATACAATTCAATCCTACAAGGCAGGTTAGGTTTAAATTATTTCAACACCATAAATTTAAAAATCCATTAAAAAAATTAATAATGACTAATAAGAAGGGTGACAGAGTGATGGATCACCCAAGTATATGCTTGCACAATGTAGATATAATGTAAAATACATGTGCCAAGAAAATCTAGCCTTTGAAGACATTTCTTTGCATAATCAATGTGATTCTATAAGAAAGCGAAGAAAATAGTGCCAGCGACATAAACTTACCATGGGGATTCCCAATTCTTTTAGGTCACTGTCTCCCATCTGCCTTAATGCAGTCATGTCAACCTGAAACCATATGCAATGCAGTGATTACAAAATTCTGTCAGATCAATCTTAAGCATTTTATCTGTAACTAATGGTTGTTGAAGAACTCTTCACCAAAGGGTTTGAAACAAATGGTTGAACCATAAATTTCATATGTAATATTTTTGTGAGACTAACTGCAGACAGGGCTTCTTTAGAATGACTTTTATCATACAAAATGATGCGATTAGAAAACACTTATCTCCAACTTAATAAAGTATTATTAAGTGTCAATTATTATTGCACACTGAATAAAATGGAGAAATTAACATGAAATGTTATCATTTGTGAATGAACCAAAACAAACCAAAAGCTCAAGAAAGGATTGGCGGCACCCTGAGATTAAATATTCTAATTGAGCTGCAAAAGGAACATCTTGAATAAGGATAATCATGACTACAATTGCATGGCTAAGACATTATCAAGTTAGCAACTAAAAATTACAACCAAAGGAGTAGTAGGAATAAATTTATTCTTGGGTCAGGTTTAGTTGCTTTAAGATTTCTCATCACATTTTGGAAATTTTTTGAGATTTTAAGATAGCAATATTATTGTAACCATTAGTCAGTTTTGGCAAACTATGGTCGTGTCCATTCAGAATAATTTATTTTTTGCAGTGGGGTCTAAAGTAGATTAGACATCCTATTTTGGTCCAAACAATCCCAAAATCAAGTTTCTAAATCTTATAATTTTTGTCTAAACTTTTGTGTCCATTTTAGCATTACAAACATAGCATACATTGTCTAGAAATGTATAAAGAAACATCGATAGAAAAAGAATAAGTTTCCTTAAATACTATTCTAGATATCAAACATACATGCCCCCTAGAATAATTTGGACCAATCTACATGAAGGCATGCATACATGAGCATTAGCATGTTTATACATAATCTTCATGGCAAGATTTTAAATCCCAGTCCGGTCTGACATCAGTCCTTGCTCGGACTGGTAAATATCAATTGGTAACATAACCTAGTAAAATTCTAGGCCATAAAAGAAAATTGTTGTCACAATTTAGTTAGACTAAGATTTAGCATGGGCACAATAGCCAAAATACATTAGCATTGTAAATAAGAGTTCTTAGTGAGTTCATAAGTTAAGCATGCTATTCAAAACTTCAACCACGAGATGCGACAGTCACTCTGACCAGTCAAATTCTCAAAACAGTTAAACTACAAATACCTACACAGAAATATAACAGTGGCAAGAAACACAAGAATTTGACAGAAAATAATACCTCTTCTGCCTGAAAGAGTATGGCATATTTTCCAAGCCCTAATGAATGTAGCAAGCTAGCAACTGTAAGAGGTTCCTCAGGCTGCAGAAGACAAAAAACCTCGAGGCGTTTATGAAGGAATCTTTGCCTGTATATAATACAAGGCAATACACATAAAATATATTATTAAAGAAAATGGTCATCACCAAAGTTAATGTAGGTAACCATCACTCATCTTGCAAGTTGTAACATAGCAAACTCTTGAATTAGTCCACAGCAATCCTAAATGCACACACTTGCAAAGAGATGCAGAAGTCAACAAGGTCTGGATCTTATGCCTCAATTGGCTGAAGCTCAGTGCCTTCAATAAGAAGTGTCTTATGTGCACACATTGTTAAAAAAACAATGCACAAAAGGTGATCTTACAATATATAGCTGCAATAATCTTACTACTACAATGGTCATCAAAGTTGTACCAAGATATACTATATCAACCAAAGATTGATGTGCTGTGCCAGAAAGGCATGTTAATTGGCCTATCCATATCTTGCCTTGGCATAAGTCAATATGACACACTGGCAAGCTCATGATGAACGGAGGAACTTTTTTTTGTGAAAATAGAGGATGAAGAGAGAGGAAGAAGAAGAAGAAAATAACGATAAAATAAGACAACTACGAGATTCTGTCTCTGGGTTAAGGTCTCACACCTTCGCACATGAAGAATGGAATCATCCCATCGGAAAAACACATATGGTCTCATGCCACTAACACATAATATGGAAAAAGAACCTAATTAATTGATCTATTTTTTTCTGGTAATGTTTAATTACAATCTTTTGACTTCTTTATATGTTCCTCAAGTACAAAAAATGAAAATATAAAGATAAAAATATAATGATATCAAATCACAAATCATTTGTTCTTTCCTTCTTCGAAGAAGATAACATTCCGAATTTGACCTGTAAATAATCTTCAATTCTGAGTCTCTGACAATATCCTTGATTGACTTCCATTTTTGTATAGATAAATCTTTCATAAATTTTTCAATCGGATCTATAATCATCAATCAAAATCAAATTTTGATTTCTTCCATTTTTCCACATTTTCTTCCACTTTCTTCACCTTGGAGTAGTCTCGGAAATTAGATTTAAAAATATGCTAGATGTTTGGTAGTATGTGAGTTACAATCTTTTACAACTAGATGATTAAAGTTTGTGTACAATCTTCTTTGTTCTAAGATCCTTATTTTAACTGACAGCAATTCATAAACAATTAATCCTAAACATGGATATCATGCCCATCAACCAGCAATCAAGTTCTATTTGACATAGCCATATTGCACAATGAGTAATTATCAAAGGATGGGCAATCCCCATGTGACCAATTATCAGTCAAAAGCTACTGTGGATAGTTGGCAAGTATCAAAGGCAATTCCTCAGATCAAATGTTCACATTTCATCTGGAGAGGTACAAGTCAAGAAAAAAAAAGATTCACAGAAATGAGGAGCAATATGTAGGGGTTAAATATATTACCTTAAGGACACTTCTTGGCTCAATAATCCCTGGTGCAGGAGCTCGAACAACCGGATTTGCATTCACACTCATGTCCTTCGCCATAAAATTAAGAGATCTGGAAGCATCACCTATCCCACTATTTGTCAGAAAACTAGAGGGTCTAGAAGCATCTATAGATCTTATAGCAGATGCATGCCGCAGCTCCTCATATCTTCTAGAAGGAGGCATGTGCCTTTGAGTGCTGATAAACCTATCCGGAGAACCAAGCCTCTGCCGGTCAGATGTCCAAGAGTAAGACTTTCTATGTGAATCCAATTCCAGTAAATCATCTGCACTTCTTGTGGAAGGTATTCTCCTTCCAAGGCCAGAGGCACTTGATTCTGTTACATGTCGGGAATCAGATCTGCTAGAAGCCTGTACATTTCGAGAGAGTTTTTCACGTAGGTCGACATCACGTTGTCCTTCAGCATCAAGATTTCTTCGAGATAAGCTTTTCTTCATAAGTTTCCATCTCAGATCATCTCTTCCAACCCGATGATCTTTATAAATTAAGGTATCAACAAATCAGGGAAAAGCAAGTTCAACAGAAAACAATTAATTCTGAGATCTTTAAATGGATACCAGTTTTGATTTGTTTGTCCCTCATATTCTTATCAATGAATCTTGAATCATGGCCGTCAGTCCTTTGACTGTAAAAACAGAAGCAATAGCACCAAACACAATGAATTATAAAGCAAAATTTGGTTACTCAGTAAAATGGGAGAAATATTAAACATCAAATCAGAATAATAGGCCTAAAATATTTTATCATAAGGCCAAGATCTTGACCCAACAAGTTGCTTTGTCAAGCATCTGATGTACAACTCAGAGCTGCTAAAGACCAAATCCCATCGCAGCAGAATCTCTGTTAAGTGCTAAACAACAACCTCTGGAAGCAAAAAACTGTTCAACAAAAACAGATGTTGTTCTTGTTATCCAGTCTTTATCAAGTCACCAAACATTGGTCCAAGATCATAAATATCAGAAGCAATATCCACAAGTAAGATTGAATCAAGAGAATAAAGAGAAATAGAACTCAACAAAAACAAATAGTCAAAAGTTGATTCATTACTAATAACAAAAATGCATATTTATACAAGAAGCATTTGAAAGGTTATAAAAAGCTGAACTCAACATAATTCTAAAGCTTGACGCTATCAGCCAGTACTAACAGCAAGAGTACACCCAGCCAAGCTGTCCAGTGGGAAAGAATAGGCATATATACGTAACCTGTTGAATTTCTCTAGCAACAAATGAAATGTGGAGATAGTTGTTTCAAAATGAAGAATCATCCATCAAAAAGTGAATATTTATCTAAAAAATGGTCCCACATATGTTTTATTGTCGCACAGAACTATTGAGACTGAAAAAGGATGACCATGAGCCATTAGAAAGAGAAAAACACACCGTTTGTTTTCGTACTGCCTTCTATAAGAATTGTAATTGGCCGTGTTACTTTCCAACCTTTCTCTCACCGACCTTTTGCCTCCTAAGGAAGGCATGTCATCAACAGAATGACTACCATCAACTATAGGTCTTGCTCTCTTGACAACCTGCAAACATTACCAAGGAAACAGGTCAAGGTAGCTATTCATAACTCCCTCAGAAAAGAGATTTTTTTCACCAGATAAATACTCTGAAACTTTTTTTTTTCTACATGACATAAGCAAATGCCTTCCAAGCAATTTCAAGTAAGGAATTTGCACAAGTTTTAATATGGCTAATAATAAGCAAATCGTATAAGAAATGGTAAGTTACTTACAGAATAAAAAAACAAATAAATAAAATGTATGTTCCTAGATCATAAAGGAAAAGATAATTATACTACATCGGCCAATAATAGATGCAATACATAAGCAATTTAATGGTTCTCTAACTTTTACCTCAGCCCTCTACTATGTCAACTTACTTTCACTATTAACACAGAAATTAATTCAACTTATTGCCACAGTGGTTAAGCTTTTAAGGTCCCAATTGGATGGAGATAATAATTCAATCCCAATTGTAAACCACAAAAATTTATCAAAACCAGTAAACTAAAAAACACAAATTGAACAATAAATTCCATGGGAAGGAAGAAAACATAGCATCTCATCAATGCTACATAAGTCTCGAGGCAACAAATGTTAGTCAAATCACTGTCAACATTAATGAGCTCAACTTCTTGAGCAGCAGCTTCCAAGATGTCCAATGGCAAAAACTGCAGCATCCCACAGCAGCAGTATCAAGCCGCATAGGCAGCAACAGCATTGTATGGCAGCAATGGCTGTTTTTTTAGTCCCCCACCCTCGCCCCCCTCTTCTTCTCCTCACATTCTCTCCTTCCATCCTGCTTCTCTTTTCCTTTTCTTCCAACACAACTGCTACAATCGGTGCAACCATCCAATAAGCAACTCCGGTACGATCCAAACATCAGATCCAATATATGTCAATAAAGTGCTCTTCAACACCCAAGTCCAGATAACATTGATACCCTGGGTTCACAGGTTTATATGTAAGCAAAAATAAGCTCAATGGATGAACTGTTAACCTCAGTTCCTTTGATGCATTTAACAACACAAGTAGCCCAATGCTTGAACATAGATTTCTCTGTAGGCTAATGATAAATCCAGATGCTTCAAAGTTCAAACAATATAATATATCAAATATTTTGAATACTGAATATCCATTAAAACAAGGTGATGATACATCACATATAAACTACTTAGATGTAGAATTCTATATGACAAACAAGTGAAGTAGCAACTAAAAACTACAAAAGCTATGCTTTGTACTAAGGTTGGAAGTCATGTGAAACTTAGAGTTTGTGATTAAACATAATTCACTAGGTGAATCCTCATCATTTTAATACCCAAAACATTTGCTTTATTTCCAAACACATTGGATTCTTGAAATAACCATAAGCTACTGAAAAACTAACTTTCTAGCTTCTTTCATGCAAAGGAGATTTTTTTTTTTTTTATCCTCTTTGCCTGATCGACACCAAAGTAAGATAAGTTCTTCTTGAGATAACAAAAAAAAAATCTATAAATTTTTATTATGAATACCAATTGAAAAATAGGGAAAGAAAATATTTCCTTTATTCAGGAAACAAGAAGTATAATACCACCAACGGTCATGGATACCATACTATCAATTATTATGTCATCAGTTGAAAAAGATCAAGATGGACATCAATTCAATAGTTCTCGGTCATCCTTGGAATGGTTGTTTGACACAGAAGGTAAACCATACAATACTTCTTTTAATAAAAGCACAGGAGGACATGCATTTACTTTTTGATAATCAATCTTTTAGCTATTGTATGTCCGAGGGACGTATTTTTATGATCTCCAAAAGGATTTCCAAATAGTATTATCAATGAGACAAATCCAATGATCTGCAATGATCCAAGCATGCATACATTCCCATGTGGCTCAAATTCAAATCTATGAATATGATTTTTATTAATCTATCAAATGATATATGCACATGTCAACGAAGTGAACGATGAATGTAAGAAATTTTAATAAACAAAACATGTAACAGATTCTTACAAAAACATAAGCAAGGGACGATTTTTGTTCTTAAAGAAAAAGGGGCTTGACAATTTTTGTTTTCTAGGAATGAGAAAGAACCAATGAGGTATGCTATTAAGGAGATGGACTCATATCTAACCAGTCAAAAACAAGACTGAAAATCACTCCAAGTGTTCGCAAAAACATGTCCCGATTGCGAAACGATATAAGAAATTCTCTTCACACAAAAACCAAAGGGCACCCGCAAATGCAAGCCACCGAACCAGTAGAGTTGACGTCTAAGGACACTAAATGGCGAACGTACGTCAGCTCTTGATTACCATTACCTAACCCTAGAGCAGAAGGCCCAAATCAAGCACCTCTAGCCGAAGAAGAAGCGTAGACATCACATGATCCTAAAGAACAGATGCACAAAAGGGGGGAGAATGTGATTCGAAAGAGAAAGAGAGGAGGAAGAAGGATTCACCTGACCGCTTCGGCCTAGAGTAATGGTGAACTGGGGGCGAGCGGACATCTGCTCTTCTTATCGTCCTCCTCGATTATTTTGTTCCTTCACTAACAATTCCTCGCTCGAATCAGAAACCCTAACAAACCAAGACGGAAAGAGATCAGGCTCTTGCTCTCGCCCGAGAGAGGCGAGAGACGGACGAGGGTTGGAGGAGACCAGCAGAAGGAGATGCGGGGAAAGGGGGGATCATTTATGTACCTCGGAGCGTTCACTAATCGTCAATCATCAACACGAAACAAACCATTCAAGAGAGGAGGGGGGGAGAGGAGGCAACGAGGAAAGCCTGGACTCGACATAAAAATAGCTTATTACTATTGTTTATTACCACTACTTTCTTTTTCTTTTTCTTTTTCTTTTTCTTTTTCTTTTTTTTAATCCTTTTCTATTTTCCTTTTTTTATTCCGATTTATTTCATTTTTCCGGTAAAGTATCCCTAATTTTCAGGAAATTATTTTTTACGTAATACGTAGAATATCCTAAATTTGACAGCTACTTACCGACCTTTTTCTTTCTCTTTCCCTTAAATCGATCCATAGGGTAAATTAGTCAAGTTATTTTTATCATTATTAAGAAATTATTATATTATTTTTTAAAAAAATATTATAATATTTCCTTAATATTACTCAAAATATTATAATATTATGTTACTGATCATTTCATAGAAAAAAAAAAAGAGAAAACACAGATAGATGGCTAAGGGTATTATTCCAAGTATTAGATTAAAAAAATAATATATATATATATATATATATATATATATATATATATTATATCCCCACTTTGTACTAATTTTGTTGTTTTTTTTGTTGTTTTAATTAACTAAAAGATTTTACTTCACATAATTCTATCATATTTTGTATGTCGTAAATAGTTCTTAAGTGTCCTCTTCAAAAAAACAGAAATATAGTATAGTAGAAACGTTTAAATTAGTTTGATTCTTTAAATCGATAGATGATGATTCATTAGCATTAGATGTACACAAACAAACAATCTATAGATAATTGCACATTTGATGCTTGTTTGAAAAGGTGGCCATTTGCAAATTTTCTACGTTGAGGTGACAGGAATGACTATTTTGATCTATTATATTCTTAGTGCACCAATTATGCTAAAGGTTCTCGTCTATTTTTTTGAACTTATCAGTGCACCAGTTATGTTGTTCATAGAAATCCGATCTCGATACATGTCAATTGATAGTATGTTCATACGAAGATAAGATTATTATTGAGTAATACATGACATTGGGTGACTAAAGTGATGACATATTAGTTGTACGTGATGTTAACGTGTCAGTCATATCATATTAGATATGATATGAACTGAGGAGGATTGTAAATTTGGGTCAAGAAATATTATTCACTAAAGGCCTAATGATATAAAAGAATAAAAGATGTAACACTAAATTTTCCATAAAGTTGGCATAAGTTAATTTGCCCAACCTAGTCTACTTGACTTGGTCGATCCAACTTAATCCTTTCGTCGAGCTCTCTATCAATCTAATACGTCGACGATAGTGGTGAAGTGGAATAATATGACTGGTTACAACGCTGCAATAAAGTGCATCAAGTAAGTGTCAATGGCATTGTTCCAATGATTACTAGAGTCCAACATGAGGGTCGAAGATTTAGGATTTCCTGATGCATTAGTTTAAGAAAATAAAGGGTGACAACGGATTGAGAAGCTATGCTAAGTGACATGCTACGAGTCAAATGACTAGGTGCAAAGATACATGAAGGGCCACACGATCTAGTGCAACAGCCCACAAAGAGCCAAAAGACTAAGTGCATTGGCATAATAGGATTAAGTGACTAGAAACGATTGCACACTTAGAAGACTAGGTGTGGTGGCACGATAGGGTTAGGTGACCAGGCATGGTGGCGCACCTAGAAGGTTGGGAGTGATGACATGATAAGATTAGTTAATCAGGCGTAGGAGTGCACAAAGGGTTACGAGGCCGAGTGTGGTGGTGCAATAGGATTAGGTGACCAAGCACAATGGTGCACAAAGGGCTACGAGGCCAAGTGTGATGGTATAATAGGATTAGGTGACCAAGTACGATGGTGCACAAAGTGCTACGAGGCCTAGTGTGATGGTGCAATAGGATTAGGTGACCAGGCATGATGGTGCACAAAGAGCCAAAAGGCTTAGTGCACGATAGCGTGATAGGATCAAGTGAACATGTATGGGGGTACACAAAGGGGCCACGAGGCTGGTGTGATGGCATGTGTTACAAGTGTCACCATTATACTAGGTGCAAGGATCCAATTGATGCGCATGCAAGACATGCCACCCGATTGATGAGCAAGAGAATATAAGTAGATTCGGGCATAGTTGTATATGTAATACTCACCCGCTAGCAAAGAGGAGTCATGTTAAATGGCCTATTGTCGTGTGACCATTACGTAAATTATGACAGATTCAATCATGTTCACAATGACAATCTATCTAGCCACTCAAGCCAGATGATGCCATGCATCTTGGGCTATGGGATGGTCGGGTAGGTGACACATCATCTTCACCTCATATAAATACCTATTAGTTGCTTCAAGAATTTCTCACTTGCACTTGTAATCAAAGACTCTTGCAACGAACTCCTAAAACATCCCAACAATCCTATTTAAAGGTCTGCAATGTCTTCCTCAACTTCCTCCTCTATCACTCTAGACTCGAATAGGATATTATCCTTGTCACCTCCCTTGGTATCGGTAATAGAAGCTTTAGCTATAGAAGGAATCGAATCGACCACTTTGAAGGAGGCTACCCCCATAGCAGAGGCGAATTTATCATGTAGTGTGGCTCCGCCACCTGGTGTGGAGTCTTTTGACTTTGACTCATAATGAAGGCCTCCGACTTGGATATTCTCCGGGAGGTCTATCATATTCCATTCAAGTTTGAGCTAGTGTCTACTTGGTTAGATGATCAACCTTATGTACCACGTCATATATTTTGCACTAGCATGGATGCATTGGAGGCAAGACTTTGCTTTCTCCTTCATTTTTTTTTATTGAGGCTTTCAACTATTGGAAGTTCTCACCCACCTAGATGGTGCCAAATTCTTTTCGAGCTGATTTTTGAGAAAACTCACCAAGCTTGACTCTTGACCTTACAAAACTAAGTCCAGAGACAATCCCGATAGAATATTCCTCCAAAATTCAAGTTAGTATCAATTTAGGACAAAGAAAATTAGTTAACAAAGATAGACTAGTTTGACGAGTTTCTTTTTATCTAATATCTTTGGACAGTAACCCCTTTTATTTCATCTATCCAAGGTGGTTGTGCCTGTTGATTTTAATTTTTCATAACAGACATTACACCATATTTTTGTTATACAAAG